CGGGGCCCGCGCCGCCGGTGCCGGCGTTGCGCCGGGCGTGGACGTCGGCCACGGTGCGGATCGCGGTCTCCAGCTTCCACTGCTCCAGGGTGGGGGCGGGGCCGTCCACCCCCTCCTCCAGGCCCAGGTAGGCCAGCAGGCGGGACTGGAGCTGGGCTTTGCGCCCGCGCCGCAGGCGCTGCAGGCGCTCCGCCGGGCGTGGACGTCGGCCACGGTGCGGATCGCGGTCTCCAGCTTCCACTGCTCCAGGGTGGGGGCGGGGCCGTCCACCCCCTCCTCCAGGCCCAGGTAGGCCAGCAGGCGGGACTGGAGCTGGGCTTTGCGCCCGCGCTTGTCCAGGCGCAGGCGCTCCGCCACCTCCTGCAGCTCAGGCACGCGGAAGCGGAGCAGCTGGGCGCGCACCGCCTCCATGCCACCGGGGCCGGCCATCGCGCGTCATGCGCTGGGGGCGGGCACCCAGGAGGACTGCGGGGGGAGGTGGGAATGTCGGGGGAGGTGGGGGCATGGGTGGACGGCAGGGGGTGCGGGGCAGAACCCGCCACCTCGGCCGGGAACCCAGCCTGGAGGAGGGGCCCATGAACTTGGGTTGGGACCCCTCTCCCTAACGGCACCTCCCCGGAGTCTCCCACATGTGTTCCAGGACAATGCCCACCATACAGCTATGCCTTGCGAACCGATAAGTCAGGAACAGGCGTGCAGCAGAGGGGACGAGGCTCCGAATCCTTTCGCTGTCCGCCTTGAGAGCGCGCCACACTTCACCCTCGTGGGGAGCTCGGTCACGAGGGAGCCCCTGGACCGAGATGGTGCTTATCAATGATATGACCTACAACATTACGCGCCCCTCACTGCACCTTCAGCGCCGTCCTGTACACTGCCAGTCGCAATCGACTGGGCCAGGGCCGGGTGACCGAGCTGCGCTGCATGCTGTGGACGGGTCGTGTCCGTGCCATCCAAATGCGCCCATGTAAACGCAGGGCATCGCACGTTCGGATCTTCCCAGATCAAGCATCAAACAGAGCATGGCCTTGACTCCGTCATGCTGCGCATTGCCCGCCTAAGCGTCACCGCTCTGGTCCTGCTGGTTGTCTGGGGCTTCACCCTCACCGTTGCACCCCCCTCCATCTGGACGCTGGTGGCCCTGGTGCGCGAGCTGCTGATGCACTGGTTTTGATCTCAATTATCTCTTTGTCATGACTTAGCACATAGGGGTGTCGGTGCGGTTCACACCCCCTTATGACCTTGCGCGCAGGCCCCTGTCTACCTGGTCTTCGCCCTGGGTTTGTACCTTGCCTCCTCCTTGGCCTACGGCGTAGCGACCTTCCGGACCGTGCCGGAGGAATCCGAGTACCTCAAGCAGGTGGGACAATCGCGCGATCTTGGGTCTGGAAGGTCATGTGAGCTGTCCCGGTTTTGATAATCCCGGACCCCCCCACCTCTTCATCCGGCTCGAGCCCCTCCCTCTGCCTCCCACGCTCCAGGACATCTCCCGCGCCCGCGCCGGCCTCGCCCGAGTTGGCATCACAGCCTGAGTGAAGTGCAGTCCTCCAGCCCTCGCTCCTCTCTCCTCCCCAAGAATGACGTCACGGGACTATGCCGACGGCACTGTGCTGGAGCTGCGTGCGGGGCGGCTGGAGCTGGACTCTGTGCTCGCCTCAGCAACGGCCCGCCGCCAGCCCGTGCTCGTCCAGTTCAGCGCCTCCTGGTGCGGCCCCTGCCGCATGATGACCCCGGTGGTCGCTGAGCTGGCGCGGGCCCACACGGGGCGCCTGGTGGCAGTCAAGGTCGACATCGAGGCCGGCCCGCCCAACAAGGCGCTGGCCGCCGCCCTGCGTATCCAGTCCCTCCCCACTTTCCAGCTGTACCGCGACGGCGCGGTGGCCGACGCGCTGCAGGGCGCCAACCGCGCCGGCCTGTCGGCCCTGGTCTCTCGGGCGCTCGCCGAGGCGGGGCCGGCGCCCGACGCCGACGACATGGCCGCCAGGCTGGCGCAGGCCCTGGGCAGGGTCAAGGCCGCGACCTCGCGCGAGGACTTCCACGAGGCCGCGCGCGTGCTCCTGCGCTTCGTGGGGAACGTGCTGGACCATCGGGACGACGCCAAGTACCGCCGCGTGAAACTGGCCAACCCCGTCTTTGCGTCCAAGGTGGGCCTGGGACGCATTGTTCTTTGTTTTCACAGGGGGAATGGGGAGGTAAGGGAGTTTTCCAACGGCTATTAAGGATGGAGGGCATGCCCAAGCAGACGTTTGGGAGTGTTTGCCAAGGAACGTGGAGATGGCAGGTTCGGCATGACCGCCCCTAATGTGTCCTAATTGTTGTGCTGGTGCACAGCAGGCGCACGACGCCCCCAACCCCCCATTGTGGTCATCCATATGCCTCCACATCATGTTTCTTGCATCAACACCTCCCCCCTCCCTCCTCTGTGCTGCAGCTGGGCTCGCGGCCCGGGGGAGTGGATGCCATGAAGGCCATCGGTTTCGTGGAGAGGATGGAGGCTGCAGAGGGCGTGCTGATCATGGACACCATCCCTGACCAGCTGGAGAGGGTGAAGCAGCTGCTGGAGGCAGCCATGTCAAGTGCCGCCGGCGGTGGGCAGGCCGCCCGCGCTGCCAGCGGGCCCGCCGGCGCCGCCGCCGGCGGGACAAGCACCAGCGCAGCTGGCCCTGCTGGAGAGGAAGGGGCCACCGGAAGCATGAGCCCGACGGCCGCCCCGCCTCCTGTGGCGGTCAGCGCGGAGACTGCTACAGGCACAAACACAGCCCGGACTGCGTTTGCCGTGGCACCCACAGGCGCGGCCCCTCAAGCGCCCCTCCAGAGCCCGGGGGAGCAGGCACGGACTGCACGCCTGATGGCGAAGCTCCTGGCCGCAGCGCTGACGAGCGGCGGGGTCGGTGCAAGCACTGAAGCAAGCGCCGATGCCGCCCCGACAACCGATTCCTGAGCGCTTGGATGGCTGCTTCACCCCTGCCATGCCCAAGCCCTCCCCTGGCTGGCAGATTCCACCACTCTATAATCCGAAGTGCAGTATACAAGTGAGAGAATACTCTGGATGTCACATGGGGAGGCAGGCACATGCTACAAGATACCCTGCCAGAGCTTCACGCCGACAGAGGCTCCGCTGTCTACGAACGACCGGCTGGGCGTGGGGAGTGACTGCTGCTTCTCGGCGATAGCCATGGCGTCCGTGTGGATGCCCTGTCTTTGCTTGTGCTGCGAGGTGTGGGGAGGGTGGAATGGGCATGAGGTCGCCCTGGCCAGGTGCGGCTTGCACCCCAACCTTCGGCGAATCTCCCGCACGGAGGGGCACAACTCAATCCCAAACACCTTTTTATTTTCCTTGCAGACGATGAACACCTTTCCGCGACGCTTCACCACTCGGCATGCCTCGCACAGCTTCTTCACTGCCGCACGCACCCTCATGGCGTCCGGGACCACGGGTGTCGCGATCAGAAGAGGGCAGGGCTCTTATTCAGGGTTTGAATCACAGAAGGGATGATGTTTGCATAGAGATAGCCTCGTACTTGCCGTCGATCTGCTGACTACTCTTCCATTGTACTCTCGCGCGCTCCCTCACTGCAACCAGTCGGTCACCCACTAGATCAGAACGTTGTAAATGCAAGGCGCGCCATGCAGCAATACTCTATGTTGAGATTGCATGATTATATTTGATGCAAAAAGTGTGGGTTGCCCGACTGCTCTATAGCGATGCTTCCCGTCCAACGACAGACTGCGATACCGGCACCTGGCCTGGATAATTCTCAATGAAGTACCTGGTGCTGGGCGGTGGTGTGGCCGGCGTGTGTTGTGCGGAAGAGCTCTGCAGGCTCTGTCCAACCGATGAAGTCACCATTGTGTCAGCCTATCGAACCCTGAAGGTGGGCAGCCTGGAAACAGGCTCCATGCAATGTGCGAGAGGGTGCGAATGGTCTTTCCCATGCTGCTCCCATCAATGGCATTGCTACGGCTCACCCTGCTCCCCCTCTTAATGGCAGGGAGCCAGCGTCATTGCCAGGATCACGCCCTTCATTGAGCAGATTGCGGGTGCGATTTTGTGGCAATGTGACTGAGCATGGACCATGCTGCGGCCAGTGCATGCTCACAAGCAGTGTCATGACTTTTCCAACACCTTCCCAAGCAGTGGAGGAGCGCAGGCTGGATGATGAAAGGCATGGCAATCTGCACTTTGTGCAGGGCTCCGCCGTCCACCTAGACTCTGCCAGGAAGGCAAGTGTGACGCATGGCTGTCAAGAGCCGGGTTCAATCGATAGAATGTGGGTGGCATTGGGGCCGCAAGTGATCAACCACTCTGCATGCTGCTGCATACTGCGACTCTGCAGTTCCTGCATCTCCTCTTCTCGCTGCACCTTCACAGTCCGTGCGGCTGGCCTCTGGCGAGTCGCTGGCCTTTGATCGGCTCTGCATCGCCACGGGGGCCGGACCGATCCACCTGCCCGGCTCGGATTCGAATGGCGCGGTGCTGACCCTTCGGGACACCCACAGCATTGCCGCCCTGGCGCAACGCCTGCGCTCCGCGCGGCATGTGGCCGTGATCGGAAACGGCGGCATAGCCCTGGAGCTCATGTGAGGATGTGGAGGGACGGGGGGTGGGCGGTGGACAGGAACTGAATGGTGCCGCCTGGGGTCAACCATGTATTGTCGGATGCAGTGGCGGGGAGCTGATCAGCATCTTTCAGTCCGCGAATCGACCATACCCCTCTTGCGCCCTCCTGCTCCAGCTACTCGTTGCGCGGCCTGAACGTGAGCTGGGTGGTGCGGCACGCCCACATCGGCGACGCTTTCTTCGACGCCGATGCCGCGCGCTTCCTGTTGGACACCCTGCAGGGCTGCCAGGGCAGCGTGTCAGCGCCGGCCATGGACGGCGCGGAGGGGAGCTGCGTGGAAGGTGGTGCAGTGGGGGGCAGCGATGCGACTGCGGGCAGCGGTGTAGCCCAGGCCAGGCAGCGCGAGGGGCCGCCTGGCGCACTGCTGGGCCACGCCGTGGGCCCCACCTGGATCAAACACCTGGCCCACGGCCAGCGGGGCGGGGCCTTGACGCTGCACCTCGGCTGCGAGGTGGAGCGAGTGTCGCGGGGCACGGCCCCTGGAGACCCGGGGGGCCCCTGGCCCGTGGCACTGGAGCTGAGCGACGGGCGGTGGGTGTGCGCTGACGTGGCGGTGGCGGCGCTGGGGGTCACACCCAGCACGGAGTGGCTCGGGCCCGAGCTGGAGCGGGGGCGGGACGGGGGCATCAAGGTGGACACCCGGATGCAGACGAGCCTGGCGGGGGTATTTGCTGCGGGCGACGCGTGCTCTGCGCCCGACTTTGACACCCCAGACTCCCAGTGGTTCCAGATGAGGCTCTGGACCCAGGTGAGGACCATTGGTGGGGGTCCCGAGGGCTGAGTGGACATGTGTTATCCAAGATCAGGGTCCAGAGAGATCAGTGTTTGCAGCCCTGGTTTTGGTTCACGGAACAGTGCATGGGATGGGGCATCCACACTCACCCAAGCGCCCCAGTTCCACATCTCCCAACATCCCAAATCACCCTGAACCAGGCACGGTCGCAGGGCATCCATGCCGCGCATGCCATGGCTGGAGTGGAGGAGGACACGGCTTCCAGCATGGCCTTTGAGCTGTTCACCCACGTGACGTCTTTTGCCGGCCTGAAGGTGGTCCTGCTGGGAAGGTACAATGGCCAGGGGCTCGAGAACGAGCCGGAAGCAGACCTGATCTCCTTCTCAAGGACTACACCCCCAGACCCCTCCCAGGCACGGAGAGGGGGTGCGGGAAGATTCTGGGCGATAACGGGTCGAGAGCATTGCGCCCATGGTCTACACCCTCTGCGTTAAACCCTGCATGGCATGATCAGTGTATGTACCCTGCACGCCTCCCATCCACAGGGAAGCCCAGGTTCCTTTGTGAGGCTCCTGCTGCTCAGAGGCAAGGTGGTTGGGGCAGTACTCATAGGAGATACAGGCAAGTCGCGGGGCCCCTTGGGTGTGTTGGCTGTGCATGTTGCCAGTCACACTGCAACTCTGCTGGTAGTCCTGAGGTGTGCCTGTGGTAATCCTCGGTCAGAGCATGTGATGAACAGCACCCAGTTATCCTTCCAACCGACAACAGATCTTGAGGAGGCCGTGGAGCACTTGATACTGGATAGGCTGGATGTGGGGGCGTATGGGCCCAGCCTCCTGGACCCCAATTTTGAGCTCGACCATGTCTTTGACTGAGGGTGCGGATGCTCAATGTCTGCAGGCTCAATTTTGTTGGCAGGGGTCGCAAGAAGAGGTTTGAAATCCAGATACTGAATAAGAAATGCAAGGGTAGGTCTTCAACCTCTGCTAGAGGCCACTCACAACCAATCACGGCCAAAACAGGTCACAGACTGGTAAGGCTGGACCTCGTGAGCAGCGACTCGGGATCGGTGGCAGAGGTCTCTGATCCACCGCTTCGAGCTCTGGGAGGTAGAGTGTGGGGGCGGTAGCCCCGTCAGAGAGGTCCTTATTCCAATCGCACACAAGCACACCTCTCGCCAGCAACCAAACATCTGTTGCATGTACTGCACTGGACAAGCCTGGCCACCTGCCTCCGGTCCCCCCCAGCTCACAGCAAGTGTTGGCAGGTGGAAAGTGGGTGCGCCCTCCTCAGGTGCACCGTCACCGATGCCTGCGACAGACCCACCTTCTGCCCGCACTCGGGACAGGTCTTGAGCCCCGGCTTGGGCTTACGCCCCTGCACCGTGGCGAGGCAAGAGGGCGTCGACATTTGACAGCCGTACCAACAAGAGATCGCCTACAGAAACCACCAGGAGGTACTGACAGGGCGCCTTGCTGTGTCACTGCATGGAGAATCTAGCGTACTCCCCAGTCCAATCAACTCCTCCACCGCTTCGTGTCCCGGAACAGTATGCCAGCCCCCTGCCCACCTTCACGGTCTGCTTGCCAAAGAGCTGCTCCTCCAGCCGCAGCAGGGCCGCCATGTAGCCCGCATTGGGCGCCGCCTCGGGCCTGAGGCGCGTGAGGAAGCGCATGCCCTGCCGCAGGCTCCAGCCCTGGCTCTGCATCATCCAGGCCAAGATCTGGGGGTGGATGCAAGGGGGGACCGATTGGGGTGGGGCATGGGAGGGGGTACTTGCGTGTGAAGTCATGCAATCTTCATGATGGTCAGCTCCCCAACTCACCCACCGCGCGATCCCCACAGCCCTGTGCACGCTCACCAGGCTGCAGCTCCGGCTCCGGCCGGCGTGGCAGTGCACCAGCACTCGCCCGCCCCCCGCCCGCGCGCCGTCGATGAAGGCGGTGGCCGCCTCGATGTGGGGGGTGATGTCCTCCTCCTCCACGTCTCGCAGGGCGCAGCGGATCCAGGCCGCGCCCAGCCCCTCGTCGGGGCCCAGAAGATCCTTCGTGGAGCATCGGTTTGGAGGGGGTGCTGATGGTTCACGAGGGGGGGGCGAGGGGCCGGGGGGATCGCAGACATGGCGGCGGGGGGTCCTGGGTCGCCGTCGGCAACACCCCCCTTCCCTTGGAAGGACCCACCCCATTCCACAGGGCCCCTCCTCCTCACCTCGGTGGCGTTCAGGATGTGGGTGATGCCCAGGTGGCGCAACGTGTGCATGCTGCTGGCGCCCACCGCGTCCGACAGGTACAGCCCGGGCAGGAGGCACAGGGGCCGGGCGGAGGCCAGGGACACCTGGAGCACCCGCAGGCGCTGCAGCATGTGCTCCAGCCGCACCTGGGCGGGGGTGGGGAGGCAGGGGGGGTTGGGGGTGGAATTTGGAAGAAGAATGCAGGTGCGACAGAAGTTCCTGCACGCTCACGACCGGCAACCCACCTTGAGCTCGTACACGTCCACAACCGGCCGCACGCCGTCGAGGAAGCCGGTGGTGAGGCGGGACCCGGACGCGTCGCGCTTCTGCTGCCACTCCTCCACCGCGCCCCGCAGCTCGCTGCCTGCGACACAGGTGGCGGGGGAGTGAGGGGATCAGGTGAGGATCCCAAACCTTTGCTGGGCCCTCGAGCCCACGCATGCGTTCTTCCAGCTGAGGCTGCCACTGCCAGGGCAATCTGACCTTCTCACGCCATTCAAATCAACTTGCTGCCATGGGAATATCCCCCCCCTCCCAACCCTCAGCCACATCCCAATCACCTCTAGCCCGGAACACGTCGCGCCAGGCGGCGACCTTGCGCGACACCGAGTGGTTGTGCTGCGCCTCCTGGTTGATGTGCCTGATCTTCTGCGTGGTCAGGCCCACGTCCGCCGATGGGGAGTCCGACACCAGCGCGGAGGCGCGGCGGCTGCCGGACGGCGTGGCGGCAGCCGTGGCCCCCGCTCCGGCGCCCGGGCTTGCCAGGAGCGAGGGCGAGCAGCCGGAGGGCCCCGACGCCGCGGAGGGCGCCGTCACTCCCGGCCCAGGGCCCCCGCCGCCGCCGTACCGCCCCTCCACCCCGCTGCCACCGCTGATGAGGGCGCGGGGCGGCGTGGCGGCCGCCAGCTCGAAGCTGGACTCCATGTCTGCCAGGAACTCGTCCATCCAGTCCCGCACCACCTCGTACATCATCTCGAACAGCCCCTTGACGGCTGCCAGGGACTCCAGCGCAGTCCTCAAACCCTGTAAGGCGGCGGAGGGGGATTTGGGTTGGTGACAGGAGGAGCGGGGGAGTGCTCGGCAGGAGACTTTGCGAGGGGGACATGGGATGTGGTATATCAGCTCGGGGGGAGGGGACCAGGAGGAAACCACAACCATGCCATCTTGGCACATCTGTGCCGGCAACACTTGTCCTCTCAGACCCTTTTCCATCCGAGACAGCACCTGCTGGAAGGCCGCGATGGCCGCCGGGTCCAGAGCCTCGCCCTCCCTCCACCCGGTGATGCTCAGGGCGTTGCCCAGGACAGCCCCCGCCAGCTCAGCGTCGTTCAGCGCCAGCTCAGCAAGGCGCTCGCACGCCTCGTCCTGCACGTGGCCGAGGTGAGATGCTGTTGCTCGACGGAGGCACCCCGGCGCAGCGCGTGGCCGCAGTCGGTGGACCCAGAACCGCACTCAGGACCATCTGCTTTGCCCCCCAAGCCCCAATCACCCTGCTGCTCACCTCAGTGCACACCAGCCTGCCGGGCGGCCTCCTCTGGACCACGGCGTCAATGGCCACCATCCTCCCCGCCCAGCGCCCCGTCCGTGCAAACAGGACGTTGCCCAGGTTGCCCCGCCACCCCAGCGCCTCGATGGGCAGCCGGTCGGCGTTGCCCAGCATCATGTCGAGGCACAGCATCCTGCGTGGGAGGAGGTTGGTGAGGTGATTCGAGGCGCGAAGAGGTCGCAGCGGTGCTCGATGCCGATGGGTGCAGCGATGCATGCTTTCTTCGGGATACGGCGATTCCAGCAGGCTATCACTCTGTGTGCTTGGAGAAGCCCAGCGCCCTGCGACCAAAGCAGACACACCCTCCTGGCCTACAACCTGGCACTCCATCCTCCACAGCGTCTCTGTCTCACTGTACCTCCGTCCTCAGACCAGACACACTCCTCCCGCCCACTCGGCCAGCCAATGCACCAACGCACTCAGACCGGCTGACTGACCTTCCAAGGTCGTGTGAGACGCGGGCCAGGGTCTTGGGGCCCAGGAACCCAGTCTCGCAGGCCGTCGCGATGCTGACGGCTGGGATAAACTCCATCACCAGCACACAGCTGGAATGGAAGAGAGTTGAGAAAGGAATGGGGCAGTGATCTTCTAGAGCGTCAGTTGAAAGGGTTGGCTGCCACCAGGGGCACATCTCTCACCTGCACCTCTGCAGCTCGGCATGCAGCTCCGGGTATGTGCCGGAGATGGACTGGGCGGCGGCCAGCATCGCTGCCCACTCCGGGGCCGGACACTCGTCCTCCGCATACGTGAACTGCAGAGGGCTGGGCACTGGGTTTAGGGGATTATGAAAGTGGTGCAAGAGCCGCTTCGTCAGGTGGGATGCTGAAAATGTGGCCTCCCACAAGAGATCTCGAAATGTACTTTCACATGGTCCTAGCGATGCGCCCGCCTTGCCTGTCGAAGGATGCGCCCGTCGGGGCAGGCCAACCCGACGTGCCGGGCCACTTCCCCAGCAAACAGCTCAGACTGGCACTGGAGGCGGGAGGCGGGGATCTTCAGCACCAGGCAGCCATGAGGTGCTGACCGCTTGGCGACGGCGAGGGGGGCATTGGCGCCAGGGATGACCTCTATCACGCTGGGCGACACCTCGCGTGGCCCTGCGTCGGTGCACGGGGGCGAAAGCCTCCCATTGGCGGCTGCCTCAGCCAGCGCTGACTCGGCGGCCGCCCGCAGCGCCTCCTCCGATGACTCCGGCCCCGGAGAGGGGGGTGGGGATTGCCTGGGGCTACAGCTCCCAATGTGCGCATCTCTTGCGTTGAAGAGACAGAAGAAGACCAGGCCGCCGGAGTTGATCTCCAGGGCGCTCGCGCCCCGGGGCGTGGCGGGTTTGTCCCCGGCGCTGTCCTGCGCCGCAGTCTGTGCGGGCAGGGCCCCGGAGCTGTGCAGCTGCTCGCTGGTACAGCAGGCCCGCAGCGCTTTCCAAGGCACCATGCCTAGCCCTGAGTGGAGAAGTGTGCCGGAGATCAGATACCAACGGGGTAGAGTATCTTGGTGGGTATAGAAACGACAAAGGGCACTTCATCAGGAATATACAACTTGGCTGAATGTGGTCCATCCCAAGCACACAACGCTTCCAAGGGGTCGATTGTAAAAATATCATGCAGTCTGATGTGCCTCATCAAACCCAAATGTAACTGGAGCGGCTCACCGAAACCCTCATGAGGCTGGCGGCCAACCACGTCTCACCTGTGGGTATGGGCACTGCCTGCTGGAGGAGCTGGCCCAGGTCCTCCGGGTCGGCCTCGTCCCGTCTCAGGGTGGTCTTGGCGGGAAAGGAAGGGGTCACCCTCCGGGAGACGGGGTAGTCGCCCTTGAGCCCGAGCTTCGGGGCGGCTTCATGCAGCAGGGCTGCCAGCTCGGCGGCGTCATCCGGGTGCTCCCCCAGCCACCGCCATGCGGTGGAGCGGGGTGACAGGGGAGAGGTCTGCAAGGGGAAGGGTATGGATCAAAATTTTGGGGATTGGTAGCCCTGCGCGTAGGTTTGGTGGACGTGAGGCTTCGCTCGCAAAGCACTTACGTGACTGGCTCGCTCGGGGCTGTCCAGGCCTTGCATGACATCAAGCTGGATCCTCGCGGCTTCCGCTAAGGTCTCATCGATGCCCCTTGACGGCATTATAGAAAGGTGTCGATTGTCACATTCTCATTCTAGGTGGGAACTGCGATCTTGCGTGCTAAGGGACCTCCGCGGAAGTGATCTCAGGGTACTCGGGGGTGGTGCAAAGGGCCAAATGTGCTCCGAGAGTGATATCATAAATGGATAAACTCAAAAATACTGCAGGTCAAAGCATCAATTGGCTCCGCGAGCCACTGCAGCATTAAGATCTCCAGGGCGCCCACGAGGCAACTCTGGCGCGCACCAGGTCACCGCCACTGTTTGAAGCGTGTGCACACACTCTACGATCAAAATTGAGTGATCAGTCAGCAGGGCTCCCCTTCAATCATGCAAATTACTTGAGTGATCACTATGTGTCCTGGAGGCGGCACCGCCCGAGCTGGCGTGCCCCGCACCGCCGTGTCGGAGCCCTGAGCAGCCGTCGCCGTGATGGGCAATGCGGCCTCGGCGACTACTGCCGCGGCCTTGGATGCACTGGCTTCCGTGACAGGCCCTGCCTCTCTGCAGCTGGACGATGAGACATGGCAGCCCCTGCTCGCCGTGTCGACTCCTCTGTCACGGTGGTCAGAGGAAGAGCTCCAGGCCACCATCAGGCCCTACTGCGGTGATCTGGGTAGGTCGTCGGGCCAGCTGGTTACTGCATGCTCTCAGGAATACGTTATAAGGGCTGCATACATTCTGCCTCATGCTGGATACTGTGTATGGCATTTGTTGCACCCCAGCGGAGTATTCTCAGTCTCCAGTGCACACATGGTTGATGCCACGTCCTTCTCCTCCCCGCTCCCTCCCCAATCCACGACAGTGTACCATAACTGTCAGACGTACAACCTGCAGCGACTCATCGTCCTGCTGTGCCGTAAGCTGGAGGGGGCGAGCAAGCGAGGCGCTGATGTGGCGGTTGCCAACCTGCTGTGCCTGCTGCGCATCCTCCTCCAGGACCTCATGGAGCACCTCACGCCGGCGCAACTCCAGGCATTCCTGTCGTGGCCAGCCCCAGGTGCGAACTGAATGAGGGCTGCTGGTGGAGGTGTGATGTGGCTGTGACTGGAAGTATTGCTCCCGGGTCCAGTTGGCCTAGACCGTGCTTGAATTCGTGCACCCATGAAAATGCAGGCCTCCTTTTGTTCTCTTGCTTGGACAACAGCAGAGCCGTGCCTCACATCACCCCCTGCACAGGCTCCCCTCACAAGGTGGCTGTGGAGCGAGATGCCCAGGAGGAGGAGCAAACGCCCGTGGAGCAGCAGCTGGTGGGGGCTTGCCTCCGTGCGCTGGTGGCCCGCAATGATCCGGCCGCGAGGTCAGTTTGGTACACTGGTTTTAGGGAATGAGCGGAGCTCGCTGCTTTGTCTTCAAGCGGGTGGGACAGCTGTCTGCATGTCCTGCCATATGAGAGTGTGCTGAGCTGCAGTCGTTTACCTCCCCCGGCAACCCATTCTGCCAACTCTACCTTGCCTCGTCTCGTTCATCCTTTCCGCTGAATTCCCAAACGTCGCACAGCGCTGGCGAGTACCTGACACAGTTGCACCTGCTGCAGCTGCTCTTGGTCATGCTTTCCACCCAGCTGTACTGCCAGGACCTGGATGAGCAGGGACTGGAACTCCCGCTCCTGGCCGCTGTGCTTGAAGTGAGTTCCTGACGGTTGCCCTCTGGTTTGCAGATGAGTTTGTGTATGAACTTTGCGACCTCGTGACATGCACGAGCTCGCTTCCTGGCCTCAGCGCCTCAGCCCCTCCTTCCTGTCCCTCCTCTCCCGCCAGCAAAGCGAGGTGGACCCGGTGTCTGTGGTAGAAACACTGCTGAGGCTGGTGATTGTGGGACCCCAAGCCCCTCTGGGCCTCCGGCTCTTCCTGCCGACAGACACACGGGCGATCCTGCGTGCTGTGCGAGCTGCTGCAAGTGGGTCGCTCGGGCCGGGATTGGCAAGCACTTTCAACCTGTCTGGCCTGGCTTGAGCAATTGATGCCCTGCTACCATACCATATCCCAGGCACGAGCCCCAGGCATGCTCTTGGATGCACAGCCACACGTGTACCTCTCATCACACCCGCTTACCAAGCCCTCCTTCCCGCAGGCAGCCTCGTGTGGCTCCCCATGTCGGCCTTCTCCTTCCTCCTGCGGCGGCAGCCGGCGGCGCCGGGTCAGAGCCCCTTGGGCCTGCATGCCTGCCTTCTGCTCCTCACGCTGTGCTTCCACGCGCTGCCCGGCGAGGGTGCCGAGGGCGCACTGACTGTACGCACACCGGGGCCCTACCGCCTCGCGCTTCATGGTCTGCGAGATGCCGACGATGCAGGTGTGTGGGCGCAGGAGGACGGGGCCCCCCCGGTGGCCAGCGTGCCGAGCTTCCTCGTTGCCGCATGTGATGCCTGTGTCTGCACATGCTGCGCCTGGCGGAGGCATGTGCCGACTTCCAGATGCAGTGACCCCTTCGTGCATCATCGCACGCATGCGCCCGCCCATCCCTGTTTGTCCTTCCTTCCAACCCCCACTCTCCGTCTTCGTGCGGCAGAGGCCACGGCAGCCGCCGCCGAGGACGGGCGGGGCGCGCTGGGGCGCGGCCCACGCGCCTCCTTCCCCGCCCTCTTCGCGTGCCTGACCCGGGAGCCCGTGGCCCCCCCGGAGACCGCGCTGCTGCTGTACCTCGTGCTGCACGACGGCGGCGACTTCCGCGGCTACTGCCTGGCCCGCACCGACCCCGAGGCCCTGCTGCTGCCCCTGCTGGGCGCGCTGCAGCGCGAGGACGCGGGGCGGGGGGACCGCGGCGCCGTGTACGTCCTGCTCACGCTGCTGCTCGCGTTTTCTTCGGATGCGGGATGGGCCGCCGCCCTGCACCGCGTCTGGCTGGAGGTGAGGGGGTGGCAAGGGGGTGGGCTGGGTGGCTGGGGAGCGGGCGGGGCCGGCGATTGGGCCCGCAAGGAGTTGCCGTGCTTCGCGGGTCGTGCTGTGGGAGAGGGGCAGCGCTGACGTGCCTGCTCGCCGAATCTAACCCCCCTCTCCTCCTCCCCACTCCCCATCGCAACAGGCCACCCCACCCTGGCTCAAGGGCCGGGCTCGGGCCAAGCAGCCGCTGGGCAGCCTGGCGCTGTCGGTGCTGCTGCGCTCCGCGCACGCCAGCGTGGCGCGGCACGGCGACGCCTTCCTCCAGACCAACACCCTGGCCGTGCTCGCCAACCTGGCGCCACACGTGACAGGTGCGCGGGGGGCTTGTTGTGAGGTTCAGATGAGGGGCCGGGCACGACCAGCGCGGGTCCCGGGTGTGTGCCCGGGCTGGAGGCAGATGGGGCCGGCATTCAGGCAGTTTCTCAAGGAGCAGCGCTCATGATACCCATCCTGATTCACACCAGGCCTGACCTCCGAGGCGGCGCAGCGCCTGGTCTCCCTGCTGGCCCTGCTGGCGCGGCGCTGGCGCCGGCTGGCGGCTGACGCTGCCGGGCTTACGACGATGGCGGCGGCCGTCGGCAATCCAGCCACGGCAGCCGACGGCACCCCGGAGGCAACGAGCCTGGCCGTCTCTGAGTCAACCTCCGCGGCCGCCGCCGAGTCTGCGCAGCTGGCGCACGACTTCCTCAGGATGGCCCTGGAAAGCGCGAGCGCGGTGCTGGAGCGCGCGCTGCCGGCCAACCCGGCGCTGGTCTACGCGCTGCTGCACCGCGGCGAGCTGTTTGAGGGGCTGCCGCGGGACGACCCCGGCCTGCGCGTCCCCCTGGCCAACATCCTGGCCGTCATCGATCACTTCACGCGCGCCCTGGCGCGCAGCCTGGGCGAGGGCGCGGCGGCGCTGGATGCAGGGACGGTGATGGCGGCCATCCGCCACGACAGCCGGGCGTGGCGGGGGGACCGCCTGCAGCGTGGGGCCGACCTGCATTTTGCATACGAGGAAGGTGCGGAAAGGGAGGGGGGGGGGGGGGGACCATAAGGGGGTGCTGAAGTGAGACAGGTGGGGTGGGAGAGGATGTGGTGCGCCAGCCTGGTGCACCAGGGCACGGCTCCGTGGCGATGCTCCATGGGCCAAGCGGAAGTCTGATAGGGGCAGCGAGAACCCGTTAGTTTGCCCAATGACCCGGCGTGCATGCCATGACCCATTGAAGTGCTGCTATCACCCAGCCACTCCAACCCCGATGCCGGCAGGCCTGCAAGCGCACTCCTTCTTCGTGCCATGCGTGTGGGCGAGGGTGGTGGCAGCCTCCTCCCTGTCCTGGGACCTGGACGCCATCAGCCTCTTCACCCCCGAGGGTGCGGTGGGCTGCAGTATCTAGGATCAGGATGGCCCAATGGTGTGCGGGTTTCTACATTCTGCAGCCGTTCCCCTGTGCAACAAGAATCTTCTGTGCTTGCTGCATCCTGGGGGCATCTGTGTGCAGCGCCAAGGGTGTACATGACATCATCCAGAACAATTAACTGCATGGCTCTTCTCCCTTCTCAAGCTCCTGGACCCAGACGTCACCCTGCCTGCCCGCCCACGTTTGACTTAGGTGCGGCCGTTGAGGATGGACACGAGGCTCACTGGACGTCAGAGGAAGCCGAGGGGCAGGTGCCCACCGTCGTGGTCGCGCCATAGCCACCCAGCGGCACTCCATGACCCAAGCATGTGGCGGAGGTGGCGCCTGGAAGTCTGGCGGGCACCCTGCGCCCTCGTGTGACGCGCTGTCCCATTGTAGAGGAGGCCTCAAGGGCGCGTAGGCCTGCGAGACCCCTGCGGCCAGAGATCAAAGTGCAATGTAATGTTGCGCTGCAGGCGCCACAGGACGGCCCTGCCGAGGGCGCCTGGCGTGCCATCTCCCCTTTCGCTGTCACAACTCTTAGTAACCGCCCCCTGCCTGCTGACGAGGCGTGGGTACTCCACACATGTACACACAAGAGGGGAGTGCAGCAGGGCAGCGCCAGTCACTCCTCCGTGTCGTTCTCGTCAGGAAAGTCCCCTGCCAACTTCCCCCCGGCTTCCCGGATCTTGGTGCACCGCTCCTCATACGACGGCTCCCGGACGCGCTGCAGCAGCGGCACACGCTCGCCGTGCCTGCGCGCCCTCCTTTCCCGCCCGGCGCTGGGCAGGGCGCACTCGTCCTCGCCCAGCTTGGTCAGGATCTCGGACAGCAGACTGGCCCGCACCAGATGACTGCATGGGGTGTGTGCCGGTAGGGGTTAAAAATGGCAAGCGTAATGTTCAACTGACAACGATAGAAGTGAGCCGAGGGAGGAAGGAGGGGAGATCCACCGTTTGATGTCACAATGTAGACCGGGAAAGCACGTCCAGAGTGAGTGCAAACCCCCCTTGCGGCACCATCCAATGCACAGACTTGCAGCTGGAAGCCATCCACGGGCTCCTCCTTCGTCACCGCCATCTCCCACACCACCCTGTTCCCACACCACCCGCACACCTGTCCAGCGCGCGGCCCAGGACCTTGCAGACCTGGTCCCGGTTAGCCTCGGTGCGTAGGAAGCGCAGCTCCCCCGGCGCGTAGCGGCACCCCGACAGCAGTAGCGGCTCCTCGCTGGCCAGTCCGTATAGCGGCTTGGCCGGGTGCGCCCTCACGTCCAGCAGGGCCGCCACGACGCCGGGGTCCTCCTTTCCGCGCCCCACCATGAGCAGCACCGCGGCCATGCACCGCACCTGGTGCCACAGGAAGGCGGTGCCGCGCAGGGAAAGCAGGAACAGGCGCCGGCCGCCGGATGCGGGGCCGGCGGCCTCGATCCGGAAGTCCAGGATCCGGCGCTGGAAGTGCTTCACCTGCGCCACGTCCATCTGGTGTTTTGGGGGGATGGGGGGAAGGGGGGGTGCGGGGTCACAAGTAGGATGGTATGTAGGGCATGGCGTCGGTACGGGCTCTGAGGAGCGCCCAGAGGGGTGGCTCCTGCTGCGGTGGGCGTCCTGGGGTGAGGGAGGGCCTGCCAGTACGTGGGGCACCCATCTCCCTTGTGGACAGATCCCCGACGCATCCACACGCTCACCCGAGCGCTGTTCTCCCCACCTTGACCCGGCATTGACTTCATGTGCACTTTCAACCATAGCCAGGTAACCATTTCATCAACCACACACACCTCTGGGTGCCGTGACTCTCCCTCACACCAATGCAGGCATCAAACCCGGACCTCCCTCCACCAAACACGCCCGCTGAACCTTGCAAAAGTTGCGAAAGTCGTGGAGGCCCAGGAAGGCGGCCCCTGCGGCCTGCATGGCGGCCAGGTCCAGCGCCTCCCCCGGCTGCGCCACCACAAAGTACTTGTACTCGCGATGTGTGGCGCTGAAGCGTGCGGAAAAGTCTGGAGAGGTCGGCGGGCACCAGCCCGTGACCCGCACGTCCTCTGGCAGCGCGCGGTTGAGCAGGCCCGGGTAGTCCAGCTCCTGGCCGGGGTCGGGGAGGGGCTCGCCCACCCGCGCCGAGCTGCGCAGCTCCAGGGCCACCACCTGGCCGAGGGCGGAGACGCCACGGTCCGTGCGGCCCGCCCTCGAGTACCGCAGCGACTGCCAGGGGGCGGAGAAGGGGATGAGGCGGGTCCGCTCCAGGGCCGAGAAGAGCCGTGCCTGGCAGGTGGTGGGAAGAGAGTGGGGGGTGTTTCAGGGTGAGAATGTACTGGAAAGGGAAATTGGGTCCAGGGGAGGGACTGCGGGGGCTGCCCAGGCCATAGAAAACAACTTTTGGCAGCGAAGAGCCCTGTGCCGAGACGCCGCCCCCCCCCTCCCACGCCGACCTCTATAGTGTTCGAGGAGCTCTCCTGGCGAGCAAAGCCATCGTAGGCGTGGCCCAGGTATAGAATCTCCAGCGCAACGTACCGGGTCTGGTAGCTGGCAAAGTCCAGGTCGGGTTTTGTGCCTTTGGGGATGTGGGGAATTTGGTGCACTCATGTGAAGCACACATTCAAATAAAAATAGTAAGGTGTGTGCTTTGAGCAGGACATGTTGATCTCACATCGCATCATTCTTGTGCCACCCTTTTGGCAACCTTCGTGCATGCCTCATCTGAAGGAGTCTGCCCAATGCCACCAGCAGCGCACGCGCACCTCGTCGCTTGCGGGTCGGAGCCACGTCATTCTTTGATACTTCAGGCTGTGGCAACTCGTTGGTGACGACAGGGGGCGCCTCCAGGCGTGCAGCAATCTCCCTGAGGCGGGCTGCCAGCTGTCCTCGGTGCTCTGGCTGGAAAGCGACTCCCGGGTACAGGGCATTGTACACCGCCCAGTCCTCGCGCTCCATTCCCGTCTTGCTCATGGCTCTCACCCCTGCCCAGCCGCGAGCCCTTCTGGTCAGGCGAACGTACGAGGCAAAATTCCTCAATCCCAGCATAGGTGGACCATACCGATGAGGGCAATGGCAGCACCGCGCCAGGACGAACCTGGTGGAATCTATAATGGGTATTTCATGTATGCTGCATTGCTGAATGCCCCGATTTGGGGGGTTCCTGCTGCGATGCCAGTGGACATCGCGCCCGATGCTGTATGTTGAGATTTTGATGGCGCCGGCGCCTGCTCAAACCAGACCGATGTGTCTGTGACCTTTGTGGAATTGCAGGCAAGCGCGGCCTCCCACATGGCCCCCAGTGCTGAGGAATCCCATTTGTTGATTTATTGCGCTCTTGCATTGGTTTCTTGCTGGAGGTGTCGAGGCTCCAGATCATCGAGATGGAAAAAGGAACATCCATAGCTGTTCTGCATGCGCCAACCGTTAGAATCTGAAGGTTTCAGTTGATCTGCAATACCAAATCCTTTCTGTAAGTCATGTGGAACACGGTTGTCTTGCAAGATAACGAAACTTGGAGGAAAACCATCCATTTATAGCAGACCTGCACCATCGAAAGAGCTGTCCAGCGTTTCTGAAGAATCCCACACCAGACTATCTTCTGCATGGCTATGGATGGAAGATGACATTTTCATTGCTGACAGTAAGCTGAAAAAGTATTACTACTTCCTGCCCTTGCCACATCGACCCCGGGTGGCTACCAGCGTGGCAGAAACCCGGCTGACAACTAAGGACGTGGCACTGTCCAGCGAGGCGACCATTAGGCTTTAAATTTCTCCCCACCAGCTCCCGCCTGTTCCAGAATAATGTCAGATGCTGAACCCGCTAGCTCGACACCGGCAGGAGCCCCCACGGAACCTGCCTCCGTCCCCGTGCCCGGCCCTGCCACCGAGGCCGAGAATCAGCTGGCCCAACAATGGTCGCAGATGCTGCAGTACCAGATGCAGGGCAAGGCCGGCGCCATGCCATTCACAGGGGGTGTACCCTTCCCGAACGTGCCCTTCATGCAGGTGCAGAAGGGGCTTGCAAGGACCGGGGATGCTCGCCAAGGGGGAAGCCAAGCCTCTGGTCATGCATTCCCATGCACAGCCCCCCTTAGCCCCAGTGCCCCTCCACCTCCATGCAGCCCTTCATGTACCCGAACGCAATGATGTACAACCCTGCGCTGAGCGGCATGAACCCCTACACAGCGGCCTTCATGGCGAGCATGGCCGAGGGCGCAGACCCGGCCAAGGCCACCCTGACCAGCACAACGGTGGGTTGCTGGCCGGGGCTGAGTCAAGGGGCGGTGTGAAGTCTCAGGGGATTGCGGAACGTACAGACAGATGGGATGATGTGGCTGTGATGGGGAAGGCGCAGTCTTGCGCAACTCCAGACCACAGACTGCTTTGCTGGCACGGTGTCGGCAGCATTGATGCATCCTCTGTCTCAATGCAGGGGTGTTAATCCCAGCTTTCCATCTGTCAAACCCTCTGCTGGCCCTCTCTCGCCCAAAGTGGCACTGCTGCAACCCCCTTACCCCGCCCCCCGCGATGCCGTCCTGTCCCCAGGCTGAGGCAAAGGACGATGCCGCTGCGGCAGCGGCGGCCCCTGCAGGGCCCGGCGAGGGCGGCTCTGCCGAGGAGGGCTCCAGGAAGCGCGAGGCCGACGCCTCCGAGGCCGCCGACGCGCCGTCCAAGCGGGCCGCGCTCGCGCCAGGGCAGGCCGGGGACAGCGCCGCTGCGCTCCCCCCCGGGGTCAAGACCGGGTCCCAGGCCGCCCTGTCCCTCCTGGCGTCGGCGGCGGCCACAGGTAAACCGGGGTCAAAGGTCCCCGGCTTGGCTGCCCTCCCCGGCCTGGCCGGCCTGAACATGCCGCCCATGCCCCCGGGGGCCATGGGCCTCGTCCCTGGCGCGGCCGCCGGCGCCGCGGTCGCCGCCACGAGTCCCGGCGCACAGCACCTGGCGGAGGTGTGGAACGCGCTGAACGGGCAATTCTCGCAATCCCCCACGCTGCCGGAGCTGAAGCGCGCGGGGTCGGCGGAGGCGCTGGAGGCGGAGCTGGCCGCGGCCGCCGGCGACGAGCGCGAGCTCAAGCGCCTGCGCCGCAAGCAGAGCAACCGCGACTCGGCGCGGCGCAGCCGTCTGCGCAAGCAGGCCGAGTGCGAGGAGCTGGGCAAGCGGGTGAAGGACCTGATCGCGGAGAACGGGGAGCTGCGCGCCGAGCGTATCGCGCTCCGCGCCCAGATCGAGGTCCTGGACGCCAAGCTGGCCATGTCGGTGAGTTTTGGTTGCATGGGGGGAGGGAGGGGGGGAGGCAGGGGCTCGTGCAGAAGGGCACGGCACCGCCTGGGAAGGGGTGTTGTGGGGACAGCGGCGGGCCCTGACGCAATGCATGACGGTGTGCGTGGCCGCCTGACCCATCTCTTGTTCCATGTCCCCGATATGGGATCCCCCTCATGATCCCTGCAGAGCGCCTTCAACCTGGCGCTGGGCGCGGGGGAGCTGGAGAAGATTCAGGCCGATGCCCGGGCGAAGCAGGCAGCCGAGGCGACCAACGTGGCGGCCGCTATTGCGCACGTGCGCTGGGGCTTCACGCATATCATAAGGAGGGGGGGGCGGTCGTCAGTGACAGGGTACACTGCTTGTTCCCACAGCGTCGTCATGCATAGTGTGCTTCCCTGGCGCAGTGGCACCCTGTGCGCAATCTGACCTGGCAAACTCCTCTCTGCGCCCCTTACCCGAACAGGTGAACGCGCTGACGGCAAACAGCAACGCGGCCGACCAGGAGGACGAGGAGGGCGAGGATCGGGGGCGGGGCGGCCCTCCCTCCGTGCCTACCCCAGCCAGCGGGCCCCAGCTCCCACCGGCGGCGGCGGCGTCAGGCGCGCAGGCCCAAGGGCACGCTGCAGCGGCTGGGGCGCTGGGCCCCCAGAGCACCTCGGCCTAGAATCCAGATTGCATCAAAGTTTCGTTTTTCCTTTCACGACCTTGGCCCTTCTTGCCCAATTGCCTCCCAGTGGGCGCCCCGGACTCATGGTGGCCGGGTGACGCGACAGAACACACGTGCACACACCGACCTGACTGTACGAACGGATGCCAAAAAATCCAGGAGAGGTGATTGACCAGGGCGTTCAGAGTCTTGGGAAGACGGTGGCCAATGGAAAGTCGGAATAACTGAGGTGCAGAGGGGTGCCACATCGGCAGTCCATCTCAACTCTGGGGCAGGAGTGGCAGGTGGTACAGGAACCATCCTACTCGCTCTCATAAGGAAGACAGTACATTCCCTCCAGAGCCTCGTGTAGCACGTCGGCGTCGGTCCTGCCGCTGCGGGAGCACCGCGATTGAAGCCGGGGGTGCAGGCTCCCACGATCGCCAAGCATGGCCGCGGTACGCTTCTTGTTTCCCCGTGTCTGCTTACTAAAGTTCTGCTTGGGCACGGTGTGCTGTCAACGTGCCCACTTCCCCTTCCCTCCCCACAGAACGTGCCTGTCAATCCCAAACCTTTCCTGAATGACCTGTCCGGGAGGTCCGTCATCGTGAAGCTAAAATGGGGCATGGAGTACAAAGGTGGGTAGGAACTCATGCTTGAGAATGAAAGCGACCGTGCCGCTGGCGAGGATAGTGGGATCCGTGGTGATGAGCCGGTGTGGGCAACCCTGCTCATAAGGAGTGCATCCTGGCCGCCCTCCCTTGCAGGTTTCCTCGTGTCTACTGACGCGTACATGAACCTGCAGCTTGCAAACACCGAGGAATACATCGATGGGCAGTTCACAGGGAACTTGGGAGAGGTCCTCATCAGGTGAGAGGTGTTTGAAGACCGGTGGGAAGAGGGAGGGTGACGGTAATGTTGTCTGGCGCTTCAACACAGCGTCCTTTACCCTCCCACAACCCCTCGCCCGTCAAACTCCAGGTGCAACAATGTGCTGTACCTCAGAGGCGCGCCAGACGAAATGGAAACGTCCTGATGGACTCGTCCTCGGTCTTGTGCCCTGTCTGTACCCAACCTGCCTTTCCCCTTGACCTCTGCTTTCTTTGCTCATGCTTGCAACATTCATGCTCTTAACAACAGAATTCGGGAGAGAGGTGATAGGCCATCAGGATGGTATGGGATTCATAGGGTAGAATCGCTTCGCCTGAGGGCAGGAGAGATTGGTTGAAAAACGTCGGCCAGATGGGCCCAGACAAGAATGAAAGGCGCGCTAATCCCAAAAGGATGAGCATTGTGGAGGGTCTGAAGGCAAGAGACCTCCTCCAAAGAATAAAAACGGAGAGTGTGCGCAGCTGGGAAGGGTGCACAGATCATCTCAAGCATGTGGCGCTGTGCTGTCTTGTCCAAGTCGTGCAGGGAGCAGGCCATCCACTGGCATCCGAGATGCAAGCATGAGGGAACAAGGCAAGTGTGTTTGTAGTCTGCAAAATTGCAGGCAGAAGTCTGCCCCCGTGAAACAATTGTGACCGCCTCACTGGCTAGGCGCCAGATCGTGCAACATGGAGATATTGAAGCTGGAGAGATGGTCGCCCACGCCTCATGCTTCTGTACTCTCCACGAGCTCGTTCAGCACCTGGAGTGGAGGGAGGGCACAAGGGATGCGACTGATCCAGTGATTCCTACTGAATGTACTAAATTGGTCACATCACAAGCCTGTTGCGCAAAAGATAGTAAATAGTAAACTCCTGCTCAAGATGGGGATCTCCAAGTCTAGAGTTACCAAACATCCCCAGTGCCTCCACACTGCTCACCAGCGCGACAACGGTGGCAGTGGCAGTGATGCACACTGCCGTCCCAGGGTCCTGGCCCTTGGCGACGCAGAAACAGGTCACCACAAGTGCGCCACTGACCGCGGCCAGGAAGTCATAGCGCTGCAGCAGCTGGTCGCATGACCTCTGGAAGGTGTGAATGAATCCTGCGTCCGTTCCGGAGTCTCGTCGGCCGGCTCTCGGGACCACGCAACTCCGCCGAGAAACGGGGGCCCGGGTGTAGCCGCTGAAAGTAGGTCTCCGAAAGCATGTCGGCATCTGTGCACGAACAGGCGCCGACGACGGCATAAGGCCGAGCATGGTGCTGGTGCTTGCCTGCGACAAGGGTCGACGGGAATCTCGAGGTGGAGCAACACGTGACAGCAGGGCACATGAAGAGGGGAGGGTGCACCGCATGGGCCCTGGAGCCAACAAGGAGCCATAATTGACGTGCCATGGCCGCCACCCATGGCTCTATCGCTTGCGCACCGCGTCCGCGATTCCTGGTCTGCCGTACCTTGGGAGAGGCCCCGTTCCTGCGTTGCACTCTCGTTCCTCGGGACTCAAAGCTCCACTCGAGTGAAATATTTACGAGATCGAAGGTTACAATTCGGTGTGCAGTAAATTTTCCTCGCCCTCCTCCACACGGGATTCTCCATATCTTGCAGGCTCCATGCAGTTTGACCCCGGGGGTGGGGGCGCCCTGCTCATCAAGGCAGCTCACCGCAGGAGGGACGCCGACGGATTCCCACGGCTCGCGCCCCGATCCGCTCCAGCGCTTTGAAGCAGGGGGCGTGCCATGCTCCCGTGGCACCCAGGGGAGGGAGGGGTGCCCATCAAGTTTGGGGCCCGGCTCCCCGGCCAGCTCCGCCGCGCCGAGCGACCAAGGTACTGCCCCTCACACCTTGCGCGGGCGGTACAGGGCCAGCGCACCCGCGCCCAGCAGCAGGTTCCTGTGGCTGAACTCCAGCGCCAGGACCGGGGTGGCCTTGGTGCGCCAGGCGGCCAGCGGCGCCGGGCCCGGGTCGCCCGGCCGCCCCGCGCCGCCCTCCGCGCCGCCGTCCCACAGCCGCACGTACGCGTCCGCGCTCCCCGCCGCCAGCACGCCGCCGCCCTCGCCGCCCCTGCTCCAGGCCAGGGACCAGACTGGGTCGGGGCGGGCCGGCCCGCGCAGCACCGCGCGGCGCCGCGCGGCCGCCAGGTCCCAGACGGCGACCTCTCCCGCCGCGTCGCCCACCGCCAGGCAGCGGCCGTCGTGCGAGAAGGCCAGCGCGGTGGCCGCGCCGCGGTGCCCGCCCAGCGTGCGCAGCGGTGCGGCGCTGCGCACGTCCCACAGCCGCGCGGCGCGGTCGCCGCCGCCCCCAGGCCACGACGTGCGCGTTGGGGTGCCAGGCCACGGCGTCCACGTCGGCGCCCGCGCCGGCGCACAGGCGCAGCGCCCGCGCGCGCTCCACGCTCCACACGCGCAGCGCGCGGTCAGCGCCCCCCGTGGCAAAGTAGTGGCCCGCGGGCGACGCGGGGCACCAGGCCACGTCCCACACGGGGCTGGCGCCGGGGCCCGCGCCGCGCCAGGCCACTAGCCCCGCACCCAGCGCGCGGCTCCACAGCCGCACGCTGCCGTCCGCGGAGCAGGACAGCGCCAGGCTGGCGTCGGGGGAGAGGGCCACGCCGTGCACCCCCGCCTCGTGCCCGCGCAGGACCGCGGCGGCGCCGCCGCCCTGGCCCAGGTCGTGCAGGCGCACGCTGCCGTCGGCAAAGCCGCCCGCGACGCAGCGCGCGTCCAGGGCCACGGCCGCCGCCGCCAGCGAGGCGTGCGTGTTCACAAAGGTGCACAGCAGCGCGGAGGGCAGCGCGGAGGGCGACACAGCCACACGCCCGTCCAGCTCCGACGCCAGGGCCGCGCTTTCCTCCTCGGTCCGCGGGGGGAGCGGGATCTGCGCGTGGGTGGTGGGTGGTGGGTTGCAGGGCGTGGGGTGACGCCACGCTTCCTGTACACCGACTCCAGGCCAACACTCTGCCTTCTCGGGGCTGTAGTCCGCAGCTGCTGCAGCCTGAATCCACCAGCTCGACCACACTCCATAACGCCCTCCCCACAGTGTGGCCCGGCCTCCGAGCCCGTGGCCCCCCAGCCACCTACCCCGCCGCACCTCGCATGCCATGCGGTTTGCGGCGACGGACTCCCTCTGCGCCTTGGCGTCGGCCGCAGCCTTGGCCAGCGCGGCGCGCTGCTTTTTCGTCGCGCCGTCCGCGCTTCCCGCCCCGGCGTCGGCCTCTGAGGGGGAGGGGGGGGGGAACCGATGGGATGGAAAGACTGTGGGTCACCGAGGCGGGGGCCTGGGAGCCAGAGCAGTGTGGTACCGCCAGGGCGCAGGTTTCGCAGCTCGTAGTTGGTCGTGAAGCGTCCCTCAGACCGCGGCTGGAGCCCGGGAATGAAAGCAGCCGCTCATGCAGCGAGCTCCAGCAGGCCCCCCCCACACATGAGCGCATCCCTTGGGATGAAGGACCCCCCATTCCCCGCGTTTCTCACCCGCCGCCGCCTCACGCTCCAAGCGATCGAACTTGGCCTGCGCCCACGCGTCCTCGACGCTCCCCTGCACATGAACTCGGCCGGGATGGAGCGAGAGCGTGTGGCTGGTCCCATGGGGTCCACCTCGGGGTGGCTGGCGCGGGTCGGGCAAGGGGGCCCCACAAGGTCTGGCCCCAGAGCCACGACCACCCCACCGCCCACCGTGCACCCCGCCTCCCCATCCCAAGCTGTTCCTCTCTTTCCTCCCTCAACCGCACCACCTGTGTCCCACCTGGAGGAGCTGGAGGTCGATGGGCCCGCGGTTGTGCGCCGCGCCGTCCTCCTCCCCCGCCCGCCCCGCGCCCAGCTCCTCCGCGGCGGCCAGCTCGGCGGCGCCGGCGGGCGGCCCCTCCGCCACCTCCAGCCGCACGTGCCCGTTCACGACGCCCAGGATGAGCTGCAGCGCCGGGGTCTGCAGCGCGCGCAGGAGCAGGCCGTGGGAGTAGGCCGACAGGCGCACGCCGGCGCGGCGCGCGCGCCAGGCGGCGGCCGCTGCATTCCCAGCCAGCTGCTCCCGCCCCGTCAGCGTCTGCAGGCTCTGCAGCTCCCGCGCGCGGTGCTCAGCGGCGGGGCCGGACCCCGCCGCGGCGAAGCGCGGGCCATGCTCGGCGAGGAGCGCGTGGGCCTCGCTCGCCGCGCCGCGCTCCACCAGGCTCAGGGACACGTGCACGAGCACGGGGTACAGCAGGCATGCCAGCTCGGGCTGCGGGGGAGGAGAGGGGGGAGGGGGGCATCGTGGCTTCGCGCCTCCATGTAAACACAGAGGATGGGGTGAGGGGCGGCATCCAACATCTGGCCGGCCCACCGGCCCCGCACCCCGGCGCTCCCCAGCCGAGCCACCTCCCGGTACCTTGTAGAGGTCTAGGGAGGCGTCCACCCAGGCGGCAAAGGCGGTGTAGGCCCGGGCGTAGGCGGCCGGCTCCGAGCCGTCCAGGGCCAAGGCCTCCAGCAGGGCGCCGTCGTCGTCGCCGTCATTCACCTCGGACCAGGCCTGCATCTCAACGTCCTCCGGCGCGCAGCTGGCGCGCAGCTCCAGGGACAGCACCTTCCCCGCCTCGTGCAGCCTGGAGTGGGCAGGGGTGTGTGCGTGTGGTGGAATGTTCGATCCCGAGACCCGCCGTACTGCCTGAGACATCGCCCCAAATCCTCACCTTCTCCGCTTCAGGTACTGGAGCACGAGCCTGTCGACAGCGGCTGTGCTGGCCAGGCTCATGCTGCCTGGGGCAGGGCGCCGATCCCCACCCCCGTCGCTCGTGCGCGTGTACTGCCGCCAGTCCAGGTGCTGGTGCCACTAGTTTGGTAAGTAAAACAAGTAATGCGTGATTTTTCTCGTCGAATGGCTCACCACGCGAGAGACCTGTGCTCATGTATCCAAGCAGTTTCATGCGCGCGCGCCCTGGAGAAGTCTGCTCCCCCTCGAAACTGCTGTCCCAGGCAACGTACCCAGAGTTGCTTCAAGAAGCACAACCATACCAACAAGCAGCTCTGAGACTAGAAAGAATGGGGAAAGTGTCAATATGTTCAGGTGGGATGCAGCGCGCAGTGGGGACACTGTACAAGGTGCAGGAGGTGACCTGAAGGGCAGAATGCAGCACATAAGCCTTCAGAAAAGTCGATAATGCAAGTGATGATGTGTAACTGATACTTGGGAGTCAGGTGACCTGGCTGAGGCTCAACCCTCATGAAAAGCACTCCCAACACAACTGACATGCTGCCCAAGTGTGTGAGCAGTGCAAGACAAGGGAATATTTTAAGCCTTTGGTAGTGCCCTGAACAGTGAAATTCTGCACGCACATTCACTGTGTGTGCTTGTCAGGTTATCGTTCCAGGCGTCGCATCTTGGAGCAAGGCCAGCGTGCTGTGGTGGTCGGTCGGTCAATACCCGCCGCTGTTTAATTTCAATTCGTGACGGGCATGGGGGGGGCCATCCCAGAGTACGAGTGGGGGTCGCAGGCGCACCTCCACTTGAATCTCCCTGAATATCCCGGTCCTCTCCAAATAGCCATTCAGACTGCCCAACTCATTCGTGAGACCATGACTTGACCGCAGAATACTTTCCTACACGGGGCCCGTCCCGACGACAGGATGGCCACCCTTGTTGCACCGGTGGCCTATGGTCTACTCAATGTAGTATCGGCCACTGGCATTGTATTTGCGAACAAAGCAGGTACATAGACCGCATGATGTTCAGGACCGCGGCCTGCACCCCAACGCGCCCCCCCGACTTGTACCCCTCGCCGCAAGGAAGGGGGCCCCGCCCTTCATGCCCGCGACCAGAGGCTGCCACCAATAGCCCGCCAAAGTCGCGGCACGCACAGGGACTCCCTGCATTCCCGCACCCCACCTGCCGACTCCCCAGGACGCCCAAGCAAGCCTTCTCCCCCCCACCTACCACTTGCACAGTGTTCAGCGTCGTCAAATTCAGCTTCACGTATGCCCTGACTTTCATACACACGCTCTTCACGCTGGCGGGCATGCACGTCTTCCTCAGGGTGAGTGTTTCCCTTTGGTGGGGCTGCAGTGCGTGGAGGAATGTGTCTGGGTGTTAGTCGAGGTGGGTGTAGTGCAAAGATGACCAGCTGGCAAGCTGAGCTGTGGCCACATGAGCCTGCGCAAAACATGTCTGGGGCGCAGGGCCTGTGCACCTGGGTCGCGGCGCGAGGGGTTGCAGCCCTCTGTAACCTAGCTGAGTGGTATAATTCATTCTCTGACCTTCCGCGCCCCACCCCCCCAACAATAAAACTCCAATGGCAACAGTTTGGGATATTCGAGCGGAAGACAGTGCCACGGCGCAAGATGCTCCCCCTGGCGGCCGCCTACGTCGGCTACATCGTGCTGTGCAACCTGAACCTGAACCTTAACCCAGTGGGGTTCTACCAGATCACCAAGATCGCGGTGGCCCCCGCCGTCCTCGCCATCGAGGCGGTAGCCTACGGCAAGCGGGCCAGCCCCGCCGTCGGCGGCGCGGTGGCCCTGGTCTGCGCGGGCGTGGGCCTGGCCACCGTCACCGACCCTCAGATCGCCAGCAACGCGGCCGGCCTGGGTGCGGGCTTCGGCTCCGTGGCCGCCACCGCCATGTACCAGATCTGGGCCGGGGTCAAGCAGAAGGAGCTGGGCCTGGGGTCCATGCAGCTGCTGCACCAGTATGTGCCGCTGGCCGCCGCCATGCTGGGCGGCCTGGTGCTGCTGCTGGAGCCTGTGGGGCTGCTGGCGCCGGGGCCGGGCACGCTGCTCGGCTTCCACTACACGCCGGGCGGCCTGGCCACCATCGCCGTGTCGGCCGCGCTGGGGCTGCTGGTCAACCTCTCCACCTTCCTGGTTATCGGCGCCACCAGCAGCCTGACCTACAATGTGGTGGGCCACGTCAAGACCGTGCTCATCCTGTCGGGCGGCGTCGCCTTCTTCGGCGACGTCATGCCCGCCAAGAAGATGGCCGGCATCGGCGTCGCCATGCTCGGCATCATCTGGTGGGTGGCATGTGTGGGTGTGCTGTGTTTTGTGGTTTTGAAGTGGGGGGAAGAGAAACAGGTTGTGAAGAAATTGATGAAGGTCCAGAAGGGGTGTGCGGAAAGTAGGCATGAGGAGGTCATCCACCTTTAAGAGGGGAGAGTGGGAGGTTCTCGCCACCCCCCACCCACCCTCCACTGAACCCCACCATCACACAGCCACCCCTCCCCCCACAGCAAAATTATAACGATATACACCCCCCCTCCCTTCCCAGGTACTCCCACATCAAGTTGAGAGAGGCCAAGATGACCGCCAGCGCAAAGCTGCAGCTCCCCACGGCCACCCTGGCCACCAACCGTCTGGGTGAGCGGGCGGGGGTGTTGTCCTCGGTCGACCTGGTCAAGCGCCGGCAGCTGTCGGCGTCGCCGGAGCCAGCCGGCAAGGTCTGAATGTGAGACTGCCCAGGGTGCCCACCACCGAGAGACCGGGCTGGTCCCACGGGGAGGAGCCCTCCAGCGGGGGGTCCCCGGCGTCGACAGTCCATACCCTCGCTGATGGACTGGCCCTTGGGAGGACGCACCGCCAGTTTTCTCATGCGGCCGGGGCCGTCGGCGCGGCCTTCGCTGCGCCCTGCCGAGCGGCGAATGCTTGCCCTCCCCCCGCCCCCATGCCCCCTGCCTCGCACCCCTGCACCCCTGCCCGTCCCCCGCCACCCCGGCGCCTGCCCTCCGCGCTCACCCCCGCACCCCGGGCGCCCCCTACCCCCAGGGTCAATGCAGCAGAGCGGGCTCTACTCTCCAAAGAGGCGCACCGGTGCCAAGTCGCCCAGCATGACTCCGCAGCCCAGCCTTTAGTCGAGGGATGTTTCCTCGTGGAGGGGCCTGTGCCCGGGTGTCACATTCCAGACATACCCTGGTCACCCCTCCCCTCCTCCTTTGGGCGCCCACGCCCCCCTTGGGTGCGCCTCCCCGCATTGGCACGCCATCGCCTTTTGGTCTTCCCTCGCTCCTCCCGTCCATTGAACACATTGGCCCCATTGTTCCGGCGCGTCCGGGCTGCCATCCTACACGCCCCCCCCCCCCTTCGTCAGCTGCCTGCCAGACCTCGTGCAAAGGAAGATTTTAGCAGAGGGAGTGGGTATGGAGAGAGCAAAAACCAGATGCAAGTTTGTGATGAGGCTAGCAGGGGTTCACAGTCGCTGGCCGATCTGTGGGTTGTTTGCGTGGTGCGGCAGGCTCGAGGCGCATGCCTCGCGCACGTTGGGGCTGGCCCGGCCCCGGCTCAGCGGTGGCGGCAGCGTCGCACAGCCTGGTCAGCAGCGGGAGCAGCACCCCCCGCCCGCTGTCGTCCAGGGTCAGGCACGCCCGCCCCCCGCCCCCCGCGTCGGCGAGGAGGACGCGCGTGCTGCGGCGTGCGGCGCTGGCCTCCACCCGACAGTTTGAGAGTTGCACTGTCCACGTCTGCCTGCCCAGGCCCCAGTCAGAGGCCAGGGTCAGCGAGCGCGCGGTGAGCAGCAGGACGGGCGAGGGCAGCGCCTCGTCGTCCAGCCTCGCCTCGACCAGGGGGAGGTGCAGCAGCAGCCTGTGTGGTGGAGACCCGGCGCTCCCTGGCGCCCCACCCGGCAGGCCTGCGGGGCAGCAGGCCACGGCGCCGCAGGCCTCTGCCCGCCTCTCGTCGGCCCCGTCCGTCGCCGCCCCGAGCGCCACGGCCCAGCGCAGCGCGCGCAGCGCGACGGGCTCGTCGCTCAACCCAGCGCTGCTGGCGATGGAGGCGGCCGCCGCGCCCACCAGGCCCAGCGCGCCGCTGAGGGGGGCCAGCATGCTGCGACCCAGGGCTGCCAGGGCGGAGGGAGGCGGCGCAGGCGCGGGGCTGGCGCCGCCGCGCCACCCGCCGCCGATCGCCGCCGCTTCGCCCGGCGGCCCGTCCACGGCCCGGGCCACCGCGTAGGAGAACCCGCTGACAGACATCAAGGTCCAGCCTGGGAATTGGAGTGTGGGGGGGAGGTGTTTTGTTGGGAGCAGAACCGGACTCAGTGCCCGCCATGGGTGGCTCGAGAGATCTGTGCGACTCCATACTGCTCCGTGCTCAGGAGTCCATGCTTCTCATGCACCACCTCCCTGCCTGTTCCCGCCTGGCAGCGTAAGTCCCTTGCGTCACCCCACCCACCAACCCTCCCCTCCTGTCCGCTAAATCACCCCCAACCCCACCCCCCTCTCAAACCCACCCGACAGGTTGCGGAGGAGGGAGGCAGACCCCAGACCCAGCCCCGCCAGGAACATGCTCGCCGAGCCCTGGCTGAGCCCCGCCCATGGCAGGCCCACCAGGTCGCCCACGCCTTCCTGCAAGGAGCGTACAAGGCCCGCGGGGTTGAGCAGCAGGGCCAAGGAGCCCAGCATGCGCGGCGCGCCCAGCAGCGCCTCCGCCAGCGCATGCGCCGCCAGGCCCCGAGCCAGCACGTGCGGCCGGAAGAGCGCGTCGCGCATCGCCAGGGCGGAGAAGGAAAGCGGGGCGCTGTGGGATTGAGGGGGTGTGGAACGTGTGGAGCTTTGGGGAAGGCGGGGAGGGTTGCATGGAATGAGGTTCATGCGGTGCACAGGATGGTCACGGGGCAATGAGCCTAAAAACCACGGGTGCCAGCGGGGGCGCCACCGGCCTGCACTCTCCACCGCCCAAGCACGCGGATCCCTGCCTTGTCATGAATGGTGCTCCATCCTCCTCGGGTCCGGAGGCCCTCCCATCCACGTTCCTGCCTCCCGGCAAGCCCCCGTGCCCTGCCCAACCAGTCAAGCCCCCAACCCAACTGTTCCATCATCCAGGCACCTCGTCGTGTCCAACGCCACGGGGATGCCAGCTGTCCCCGCCGCCAGGTGCACGTCCAGGAGGACAGAGATCGGTTGCACCATGCAGGACGCCACGTAGAGGCGGCTGGCCGCCGCCCCCGCCGCCTCGGCCGTCAGGGCTCGACGAAGGGCGCCGCTGGGCGACATCGGGGTGGTCGAGTCCTCGAACCCCAGACTCGCGTCGCCGTGCTCGGCCTCACCAGCCTCCAACGACCCCAGCACGCGCCGCGCAAAGGCCACCACCCCGTCGTCGACGGCGGCGGCCAGGGGCGGCAGCGCCAAGCGCGCGTCCTGCACCCAGGCGTTGCGAAAGCTGGGGGCCAGCGGTGGCGCGCCCGGCACGTGCCTGACGCAGATGTGCGCCCACGGCGCGTCGCGGAGAGAGGCGGAGGCCGTGCCGCCGCCAAGATTTCCAGAGCCGCGCCCGGCGTCATAGGCGCGGGTCAAACTTCGCACAGGCGCGGTGCGCAGGACGGGCATGGTCCGTCCTTCACCAGCCAAAGCGTCCAGCTGCAGCGCGCGGCAGGCGAGGTCGGCGGCCACCTCCACGCCCTCGCCGCGGAGGCAGGGCGCCAGGTCAGCGCGCAGGCGCAGGCCGCGCAGCGCCAGCGCCGCGACCTCCCGGCCGGCGCTGTGACGGGAGTCGGCGCCCTCGCAGCGCCGCGGCGGGGGCGCCAGCAGACCGCGCTCGTCGTCCCACAGACAGAGCTCCAGGCCGGCCAGCGCCAGATCGGCATGCAGACGCTGGCACGGCGGCGCCTTTGGAGGCAGGGAGGCCGGGGCGCTGCAAAACGCGACGCGCAGCCCCGCGCAGCGCCGGGCGACGTCGACGGTCAAGCCCCGCGCCAGCTCGTGCCGGCCCGGGCGCAGCAGGAGCGGGTGCGCCCAAGGGTCCCCGGACTCGGCCCTCCTGATTTTAAGCAGCGGAAGCCGCGCATCCTTTCTGCTGCCTTTCGGTGGTGACTGGGTGTCCGCCGCGCCGCCGCCGGGCGCCGCCTCCCACGCCTGCAGGCAGTCCAGAAACGCGTCCTCGTCCTCGCTGTCGTCCCAGGCCGTGCCGCTGGGTCCGGTGGCAGCAGCATCGCGCCTGTGAAGGGTTCAGTGCCCGCTCATTAGCTGGTTGGAGGAGCAGGCTCATGTGGACCAGGAAGGGGAATGCCTCCTATAAGCTTTCCGGCCTACTCTGTTCAAAATCTCCAGGAACCCCCCGATCTCCTCTCGCTCACACCCTCCGTCAACCCCCCCCCCTCCCCGCACCTTGGGGACAGGGGTCCCTGGCCGGACCCAGCCCTGAGCTCCCCTGGCCGGGCCAGCCAGTGAGGCAGTAGCTCGGCCTCGACTTCCTCCCCGGGCGGAATCTGCCGATCCGGTGCGAGGGGTACTGCCATCATCGCATGTGCATCCTCAAGAGAGCAGGCTGCCCTGATGCAGCTCGGGAAGCGCACGGAGGAGCCCATGCCACCCAAAGCAGCTTACCCCTTCATGCCACACAGAATCCCACACTCCCAAGCAGTGGTTTGCTGACCTGGAAAACGGTGTGGGGCAGGGAAGGGCGAGAGTGACCTGCCTTCGACTCCGAGGGAGCGAGGAAGATGCCCACCTCCAGTGTCTCAGAGGTGGCATTGCACAGCACACCCGGCGGCTGGCGGTCCCTGTCGGAGGGATGGGGAGGGGTGTTGGAATTGCATGGACCAAGGAAGCCCGCCCACGCACATGGCAGCGCCCTGTAGCACTCCCAGCGCTGGCAGTGGCTGGCGCTCGCTCCCATCCATGCCCACCAGCTCCCTCAGCGACAGCCCACAGACTTCGTGCCCCCCTGCCATCAAAACTCCCCGCCAAAAGCCCACCTGAAGACGATCAGGTGGCTCCTGTTCCCCACCTCCACCACCCTCCAGCTGGCCATCAGCGGCGCTCTGGCGCCCTCGCCGCCAGCCTCGTCGCAGGCCCCGAGCAGGTGCATGCGCTGGCGGCCCAGGGCATGAGATGCGCAGATGGCGGGGCCCCAGAGGGGTCCGTGTGGGGCGGAGCGCGCGAAGCGCAGGCGCGGGCCGAAGAACCCGTCGCCCCCGCCGGGCGTACGCGGGGCGCCGAGCAGCAGGGCCTGCGTCTCGCCCGGCGCCAAGCATCGCTGCCATGGGCCTGCCCGGCCGTCGCCTGATCCCCCTGCGCTGAAATCGACCACGGCGCCCTCGGCCTGGACCTCCAGCGCCTCCTCCGATGCGTTGCTCACGTGCAGGGCGGGCGCCAGGCTGGCGTGCCACACCACGGCTGCGCGGCGATGGCGGTGTGTGTGTGTTTGTGTGGGCGTTGAGGTGTGGCTTTCAGGAGACGGCGTGACTGGAAGTATGCAGGTGGGCGCTGCAGGGGTAGCAACCACCCAGCACTCAGACGGTGGCACAGGCCCGCGCCCTCTTGAACAGCCTTCACAGACGACCACTTTCCCTCTGTCCTCTTCACCGCCCTCCCCACCTGCCCCGTGGTGGTCCTCACGCCACAGACTGAGCAGCACGTGCAGCTCCAGGGCGGGCGCCGTCGCGCCCGCCCCATCAGTGTCTGACGTCAGCACCAGGCGCCGCGTCCAGGGCCCCTTCCGCTCGCCACCTGCTTCAGCCAGCGACACAGCTTCGCTGCGGCAGACCAGGCCGCCCGGCCCCCTCACGACGATCTGCAGGGCGCCGAGGGGCGGCGCGGGGGCGTCGGACTCCGGGGGATCGTCGCTGTCGCAGGCGAGGACGGCGCTGGCGCTGGGGTGCAGGAATGGGGCGCCTGGTCTCACGATGCCGGCACTCGCAGCAGCAGCAGCACTGCCATCCCCGAGGCCGCAGCCCCAGGCCGCGGCCTCGGCGCCCAGCAGGTTGTGCAGGAAGAAGCGGGGGAGCAGCGTGACCACCAGCGCCGCCACGCCCAGCGGGCCGGGGGCACAGGTCGTGGCCAGCTGGCATGGCGCGGGGGCTGGAGGGGAGCTGGGAGTGCTCCCCAGGTGCACGCGCGCCGCAAAGCCGGGCGGGGGCACGAACGCCGGGGTCGCGCCGCCAGATCGAAAGCCGCCCATCGAGGGCGGCGTGCGCAGGGGCGAGCCGCTGGGCGCGACAGGCTGCGGGCCGCCCGCGCTGGGCAGCAGCGGAGGGAAGACGAGCGCCAGGCTGGGGGTGGCGACAAGCGCAGGCGCGCCCCGGTCCTGCTCGCCCCCTGCCGACCCCGGTCCTGCGCCGCCCGGCGGCTGAGGATCAGAGGCTGCACTCTCGACCACGCAGGCGACGCCGCCGACCGGCACCACCGCCAGGTCGCAGCTCGCGCCGGGGTCAAGCACACGGACCGCGTCGCCGCGGTGGCCTTTGGGCCCCCCCACCGGGCGGACTCGCACGGGCACTCCCAGGCCGTTGCGCAGGCGGGCCGGGGCCGCCAGGGTCACGCCGCCCACGCCCCCGCGGCACCGCACGCCGGCGAGCAGCGCTCCCACGGGCGCGCAGGCGGCCGCCAGCTCGGGCGGGGGCGGCTGGGGCTGCACCCTGGCGTCCGGCAGGAGCACCTGGTGGTCGTGTTGTGTGGGGTGCTTGGCGGGATCCTGGGCGTCATGTTCGCATGCATTCATCCACCCCGCCCGCATCCTGGCGACCCGGCCACCTGCGGTCACCACCACCAGTGCACCTCGCACCTGGGATCCGCGGTCCTCGCCATCGTCGCTCCCAGTGAGATCCAGCGCCTCCCTCCTCCCGCCCCCCAGCCAGACCCGGAGGCTGGGCGAGGGCCCCGCGGCGCCCAGGGTCAGGATCGCGCCCCTGGACGACCCGGGGTCGATCCGCAGCCAGGGCCCGCCGCGCCCTGCCTCCGCGCCGGCCTGCTCGACAGCGACCCCGCCCTCCAGCAGGCCCACCAGGGTCCAGCTGCTGGCGTTGGCGACGCACAGGCCGGGGCGCAGCGTCACGCGCCGCGCCGCGCCCTCGCCCGCCGCGACGCGGGCGCGGAGGCCGAGGTGGGCGGATGGCGAGGATGGATGCGGGACCCAGACGGGTTCCTCCCCGCACGTGACGGTCTGAGGGGAGGGGGTGGGGCAAGGCATGGGTGGTTGAGGACATGCACGTGCACCAGGGGGTTCAGCAGCCATCGCCACCGGCAAGACCAGGCGCAGTCGGAACCCGCACCCCCCCACCATCAGCCAGTGCATGGCCGTCCTGCAACCAGTACTCACATCGACGGGCTCGCTCCAGCGGGCAGTCTCAGGGCCAGGGGCGGGCGCGGCTCCCTTGTGGTACGCCGCTCCTGCCGCGGCCAGCTGCAGTCGGCGGCGGGCGCCCGGCACCACCGCGGGCGGCAGGGGCCAGGCGAAGGGCGCCTCCTCCCCGCTCCCCAGTAAATGTGCACCCTCGGCCCCCGCCTGCCGCACCACCACAGCCACGGGCGTGGCGTTGGTCAGGACCAGGGCCGGCGGGAGGGCGCGGCGCAGGCCCGACAGCCGGCTCAGCGCCGACGGCGTCCACTGCCAGGCGTTGACGCGCAGGGCGGTGGTGGCGGAGACGTGGAGGCTGGTGCGCCCTTGCTGAGGCGCCTCGCAAGACAGCGGCAGCTCGCACACGTCCAGGGGGAGGGCGGCGTCGGGCTGTGAAGTACAGGGGGTGTTCCTCTCGCCCGGCCCCTGTGACGGAGCTTGTCTGGGTCCCTGCTGCCAGCGCGGCGTGAGGACACCGTCATCCGTGTCGACGTCGTCCTGCTCTTCCCCCCCCCCGCATGGGCTCCCCTCTGCGCCTCGGTCCAGCCGGATTCTCAGCATGCAGGCCTCGACCAGGGGCGCGGGTGTGAGGGTGGTCGGCTCCGTCAGGTGCACACTCACCTCCCCGCCCAGCCTGGCCGCCCAGGCGCCGTCGGGGAAGGCGTGCCAGCCGGCCTCCAAGCCCGAGGCGTAGATGGAAGTCAGTGGAGGCCGCCCCTCCGGGCCGTACTCGTGCAGTGCCACTGCCAGGCGGCCAGCTCGCAGTGCGAGGCTCGTCTGCGCGCTGAGCGGGGGCAGTGGATCCACCGAATCGATGCCCAGCGGGTTGATGCGCAGGGAGGGGAGCAGGGCATGCGGGCTGAGAGGGCCCCGCCAGCACAGCTGGTGGCACTGGGCGGGCAGGGCTGGTTGAGCGGCTATTATTCTCCAGCTGCAGCCGTCGTCGTCACCCAGGGCTTCCAGGCGGAGCGGGATGGCATTCTTGCTTTCCTCACTTTGCGCGGGGAGCCCGGGGTCGTAGGCGGTGAGGCCAAAGGCGGCGTGCACCACGTGCGACGCCTGCCAAGGAATGTGAGAGTGGAAGGAGTGCTCATGAAGATTGCTCCGGCATCTTTTCCGCGCAGCCACACCTTGAACCCGACGTGTGCATCCCGTGCAGGGACCCCTCATGGAGTTCAACCCCCACCCAGGAGCGCCCAGCGTGGCAGCCGCACCTGGGCCCGAAAGGTGAGGCAGGCCACGCGGCGCGGCCGGGGGTAGCGCCAGAGGAGGTGGTGCTGTGCTGTGGCGTCCTCCATCTCCACGCTCCATCCCTGGCGAGGGGTGCAACAGGGTACAGGCACGAACTGATGCTTCAGGGGGCGTGGCGATGGGGCCAAACGCAAACCCTGCTTCCCTGGACAGGGCACGCCAGCCCTCGAATCAATGCGGAGAGAGATCCTGGACGGTGCTCACGTGCGCGCGTGCATCCCCACACAAGATCCACCGCCCCCGCACCTGGATCTGAGAGGGCAGGATCTCGCGCCCGGCGCAGGCCGCCACGGCAACCTGCCCGGCCGTCAGATCGTCCAAGCTGTCGGCCGCCGAGGAGCCTGAGCCGCTGGCCGCCGGGTCACCATCACGTTTCGATGGCACCATGTCTTCGCTTCCCCCGGCCGGCTCGTCCCCGCTTCGCCCCGCTTCCATGGCCCCCTCACCACCCCTCCCGAGGGCCCTTGCCATCGAAGCCAGGACCTCCAGGTCCCGCCACGACAGGGCGCAGGTGAGGTCGCCGGCGTGCACTTGGACGGCGCGGGGCCCGAGCGGCCAGACCCCGGCCTCCAGCCGCAGGTCGGTGGGGGCCAGCAGCAGGGCCATGTGCCGCTGGCCAGGTCGTGTTCCTGCGCACCCGTGTTGGAAGGCGGTTTCTGTGGGCATGGAAGCTCGGTGGTGGTCGGGGCGGTTGTTGATCAGGGTGTTTGGGCGAGGGATGGCTAGCTTGATCTCCCCTGCCACACCCGAACGCCCCGGCTGAACCCACCCAGGCCTCACCCCGCACACCCCTGGCAACTGAAGCATCATAGAACAAATTGACAAGCCACCGACACCCAGCGCACCCGGGTACGAGAGGGTCAGCTGGGAGGCGAGCACCGTGGCGTCCGCCTGGCTTACGCTGGTGTGCGCCGGCATCCAGGGGCGGTTCTCGCTGGCGGGGGTGGATACCAGGGTCACCGCCAGCTTGTCCGACTGGAACCGGACGGTGCAGGCGTTGAGTTTGGAGGGCAGGGCATCGCATCTGCCATCCGTCCCGCCCTCCTGCTCCTGAAAGCCTGCAGTCGTGCTGAGGCTGAGGTCCAGCCTGTCGCAGGAGACGCGGAGGTGCGAGGCCGAGGCCGGGAGGGGCGGGGGGTCGTCCACCGGCGCGAGGGCCTCAGCCCAGCCCCGGCACGCCGTCAGCGCGGCGCGCGTCAGCGCCACGTCCACGCCGCCCAGGTGCACGCCCAGCCCGCTGTGCTCCCAGTCGGAGCTGGCGAGCAGGCGCAGCGCGGGCGCGCCGGACGAGTGGGCGGCGACACGCAGCAGGGCGCGGTGCGGTTCTGCGGCGCCCAGGTCCAGGTCGGCAGCCAGCCTGCCCAGGGTGACCTGTTTGGGCGGGAGGCAAAGTGGGATCCAGGGAGTGTACAGGGGCTGGGGGTGGGCTGGCTGCGAGGCGATCGCTTGAATCACCGATCCGGCACCAGCCAGGAGAGGTCGACCCTTGGGTGCCTGGAAAACTTTGCACCAGGCATGCGTCACTGAATGTGTACCTGTACCTCCGACGATCCAACACATACACAAGTCAGCAGTCTCACCTCGGTGCCGGCGCCCCAACCCACGCAGCAGGCCTGCGCCGCCAGGCGCACTCCCTGGAGCCCACTGCCCTCGGGCTGCAGCTCCAGTTCGAAAAGACCCAGGTGCAGGGAGGACTGGGTGGAGGGGGTTCCCGCCGGGGGCGAGGGCGTCGGCGGGCCGGGCCGCGGAGCCTGTACTGGCGCGCCGGGCGCCGGTCCTCCTGCCCGCCGCGCCAGGGCCGGGCGGCGGCTCAGCGCCAGGCCGGCGTGGGCCAGGCGCTCGGCGGCAGACCGCGGCAGGGTGCCTCGCGCGCTCTCCACCTCGACGGCCAGGGCGCCGTCGCGGTTGCAGCGGACGCGCCCCGGGCCAAGGGTCAGCAGCTGTGCCTGGGTGCCACCCTCAATCCCCGGGGGTCCCGACAGCACAAGGCTGGAAGCGGGGACGGCCACGCTCCACGTGCTCCCTGGCTCATGATATGAGCTGCCTGCACCGGAAGCCCCGCTTGTTTGTCCTGCGGCAGATCCGTCACCGGCCCCCGCCTCGCCCCTGATACTCCCATCCGCCGCAGCAGGCGCCGCCAGCGCCCGACCGGGCATCTCCAGGGCGATGCCGCCGCTCAGGCGGGCCTCCAGCGCGCCCAGGCCCTCGGCCAGCGTCGCCGTGATGCCTGCGCTCCGCAGCTGCAGCCTGTGCTGCGTAGGAAGGGAGCCTAGGGCCCCAGCACCTGTGTTGGAATCGCTCTCCACGGCCTCGAGCCGCGCGGCGTCCAGCTGCAGCTGCAGGGTCTCGAGCCAGGGCCGGTCCCAGACCGAGAGCGGGAAAGAATGTGTGGTGGTGTGCTGTGCGCCGTCGGCCAACACATTCTTGCCAGGGACCATGTATACTTCGTCTGGGTGGTTGCCGGCAAGAGCGGCCAGCTGGGCCGCGCTGGCAGTCAGGAGCAGGGGCGACGTGGCGGCGCTGACGAGGTGCATCCCCCTCACGCAGGCCTCCAGCACCAGCGCAGAGGTCAGCAGGCTGGGGGATGCGTCCAGGGACTCTGCGCCGCTCCCCGCCGAGTCTGCGCAGGGCTCGCGCAGTCTGGGCACGACGCAGAGCCGCGTGACGGGCACCTCCAGGCGCATGACGGGCAGCTGGGAGGAAGCTGCCTTGAGGTTGGTTTTCGCGGCGGCTTGGCTGGGGGCATCGCCAAGTCTACCATCGGCGTCTTCGTCACCGCCGATGTTGACCTGAATGGGGGGGTTGGCAGAGGGGGAGTCTCGATGCTCCCATTCAAGGTGCCTGCCGCCACCCTGCCCCATCCATGCAGGCAAGGCAATGGTGGCCAGGTGGAGGCAGGAGGTGTTGGAAGCCACAACTCACGTACCGAGGATAACCCCCAAGACGTCAGCGCAGACCTCGCCCCGGACACGCACCTGCAGGCAGCTACTCTCCAGCAGGATCCAGGCGGCGGGGAGCCCCCACACGAGCTGCACCTGGGACAGGGCCAGGCTGCCACCCGTGCATGGCCAGATCGCGGTGTTGCCATGCGCCGCATCTCGCGGCACCTCTGCATCCGGCCACTCATCTGACAGGGCAGTGTCAGCCCTTCCATTCCCGTCGCTCCTCGCACCACAACCCCCGCCGCCGCTGGGCGCAGGGGCTTCTCCACGCAGCGCCGCTGCGACCCGGCCCAAGGCGGCGAGGGCGGTGGGCGAGCCGGCCAGCAGCAGGCGTCCCGCCTCCAGGGTCAAGCTCGTCCCCCGGGCCTCTTTGGATGCCTCCCGCCCTGCCGGCGCCGCACCGTCCCCGGACAGCGACTGGAAGTGGGCCCGCACCGCCGCGCCCCGCTGGCCCCGGATCTCATTTTCTGAACCTTGCGGCGGCCGGAGTGCCAGGACCTCGTCCCAGACAGGACCGGCGGTGCCGTCGGGATGCGCGGCCGCCGCGCCGCCCTGCAATCGGCCGTTCGCGACGCCATCGACGGCGCAGCGCAGCGCCAACGCGCCCAGCTCGGCGCTGGCGCCCTCCACGCGCCCGGCCAGCCAGAGCGCGGCAATCCGCAGGCCCCCCGCCCGCGCCTGCCACAGGGGCGCGGGCGGGGGCGGGGCCGGCTCCTCCGCGCTGGTCGTCCTGCGGTGCAGGGGCCTCGTGCGCACCCCCTGGCCCATGCGCAACACCACATCGCCCGGGGCAGGGGCTGGCGCCGGCTGTGCTGCAGCTGCGGGGCGGACCGCCGATACCCCAAAGCACGCGTGGATGGCTGTAAGCAGTGTTGGAGGGTTGATTGGAAAACCTCAGGGCTACTCAGCGTAATACCTGGCCTTGTTCCTGAAACAATGGACGTAATCATTCACTCCAGCGCCAAGCAATCTGCACCCAGTAGTCAGGCACCCCCCCTCACCCTGCATCGTGAGCGAGGCCTTGACCCGGGATGCCACGCGCGCGGCCACCTGCGCCCAAGCTGCCAGGATGGACGCTGCCTCCAGGGAGCCCACCGAGGCAGCATCTGGCAGGCCCAGGTCTGCGGGAGGGGAAAAGAGCAGCCAGGCAGCGGGCGTGACGGGAGCGGGACATACGTTAGGAGCTCATGCATGCAAATATTGGGTAGGAAGAGGCAGCCAGGAAGAAGCCGCCGTGGACCTTGGCCCATTGCCTTTGAGCATCACACAGACACAATGTGTAATGATCCCTTGTACATTTGATGCGCACAGTGTGTCCACACATCCTCATCATCGAGCTTTCCCTCCCTCACCTGCTGCTGCTGCCGATTCGTTGGTAATGTACCCCCACATGCGGGAGGCCACTCCCCCTGGTGGATTTTTTAGGTCTGGTCCCGCGATGGGAGGAATCAAAGGCAGACTCTCCTCGCGACTCCCGTCGCTGAGACTCTGCTCGCGCAACAGAGTCCTGGCAGGAGGCTGTGAATCCTCCCGCTCCAGCACGCTTTCCCCCCGGGGCTCAAAGGCAGCGGCGCATTCGCTGCACAGTGTGCGCAGCGTGCACAGCTGCCCGTCGGTGAGGCTGAGGGTGGGGTCTTGGAGCTCCAGCACCAGCTCAGTCAGCAGTGGGTCGTCGCCACATCGCTCCTCGTCCCAGTCCTGCGGTGAGAGGACGGCAGCGCAGGGTACTCTTGCACTGAGGGGTGCGGGGGCTGTAGCGTGCATACCGCATGAAATGGACGGCAAAGATTGCCCCTGCAGCACCAAACCCTCAAATCCTGCTGATCCAGTTGGGTTACATTGCATTTTTAAGGGAAATGTTTACGACCACATCACAGTCCCGCACCCTCCGTACCTCGATGAAGGCATTGATGGGGGAGCTGAGGGTCAGGCTTGCGTGGGGAAGCACCAAGAGGGGGCCCAGGACGCCGCCGCTAGCCTCCCTCATGCTGAACGACAGGTTTGTGAGGCTGAGGCACTTTCCCAGCCACGCCTCCGGTACCTAGAGGGGTAGAAGGTAATGTAGGGCACATGGGGCAGATGCCAATGTGAAGTACATGGTCGCAGAGGAGTGGCTTGCGTCCCCCTGGATCCGAAAGATTCTTTCATCATGCTGAGGAATGCAGCGGTGTGACGCAGTGCCCACACTGTGCAAGGCTGCTGACACGGCCGTCTTGCCATCCCCTCCTGCCCCATTCCATGAAGGCCTGCTTGCCAGCTCCAGAGGCCACCCCGTCCACCCTCACCTCCATGTCGGCCACGAGGCTGGGGTCTGTATAGAACTCCAGGCTCTGGAAAGCGCAGCGCGCCGCCACCGCCCCATCCGCGCCGACCCAGGCCAGCGAGACGTGCTTCAGCGTCACCTGCATGTTGCACAGCGTGCGCAGCAGCCAGCCCTGCAGCGCCCCGCCCAGCCATCCAGGACCCCGCCCTCCCTCATGGGGGGCCTGGGAGGCGAGATTGGTCTGCTGGGCCTTGGTCTCAGGCCCTGCATCAGCAGAGGCCGGCTCGGGCCCCACCTCGATATCCACAGCTGTGAGCACCACCTGTGGGTGGGCATGACGCAGGCCCTGTCATGGGGCGAAGCTCCTCAAAGGACAACCGATCGCATTCCCCCCCTCGTCATGCCGCGGGTCCCGCACCCACCTGGATGGGCTGGGAGGACAGGCCCGCCCAGGGTATAGTGATCTCCAGGGCCCTAGCCAGGGCCTTGTGCACCCTCAGCCCCGGCACCAATGCATCCAGATCGAGTTCCAGGTTGTGCAGGAGCAGGGTGCCTCGCGAGGAGAAGGAGACCTTCAGGGTGGAGCCCCGGCTCTCCGCCGAGCTGCGAATAAAACTCCGGAGCAGTCGGGTGACCAGGGGGGTCAGCACCGCCGATGCCATGATGGCGGGCTGCTGGTCCAGCTACATCACTCCCAGACCGTAATTCGGTGTGCATGGAGCATGTTGTGTCCGGGCTGCATGTGCAGTGACTTCGAAACCTGGCATGCAGTGCTGGGTCTCGAGCATTTCCAGGCGACCGAAAGCACGGACACGTGTCCCCAATCGCACTATGATCTGAGCCTCACTTCTCTCACTCACTTACTGACATGCCCCCGGGCAAACCAGGACAGCTCCTCAATGCCCCTTATAAGCACAAGCAAAGACCAGTTGGCCCTTGGCACTGGTATCGTATGGTACCGCAGATCAGTCTTACAGGCCGGCGTTCGGAAGCGGCATGCTTCCCCACAACCCGACAAGTATCACGCTCGGCTGGCCACGGCGCCGCTCCACAGCTCGCACAGCCGGGCCAGGGTCGGGGGCTGCTGGGCCTCGCAGCCCGCCAGGAGCATCGCCTTGGCGCCCTCCCGCCGCCGCGCGTCGGCGGCCTCCTCGCCGGCCGGGGCGGGCGCGAAGACAGGCGTGGGCGGGGAGCTCGCTCCCGGCTCCAAACGCAGGCGCAGCGTGGCCCAGCGCCCCGCGCCCTCGCCGGCGGGCTCGCACGCGACCAGCGCCGCCCCGTTTGCGGCGGCGCCGAGTACACGCAACCGCGCCGTGCCACGCGCCGCCGCCTGCGCCTCCGCGCACAGCGTGTCCGCCCAGCGGAGGTCGGGGTCGGGAGAGGGAGCGACGGGCGCCATGCCCGGCTCTGTGGTCGCCGCATCTGCCCCGCTCGCCGCCGCACCATCCGTGGCGGGGGGGATCGCACCCGCATGCCCTCCGGCAGCCCCGTCCACGACGCGGAAGACCCGGCCCGCACCGGCGGGCACCCGGACGATGGCGGCGGCGACAGGCAGGCCGTCTCGGATCGTACCTGCACCGGCCCCCCCGACGCTGCCGCCGCCGCCAGCCCCCGTCCGCTCCCTGACGCGCTGGGCGGAGGCCACGCAGCGCGCGGCCACGGGCCCGCCGCTGCGGTCCATGTCGCCCACGGCCGCCGCCAGGCGCTCGGCAGGGGTCAGGGGCACCACGGCCACGACCCTGGCGGCCGCCTCTGCCTCGCGCCGCGCCCTCGACGCCGCCGCGCGCTTGGCGGCCGCCGCCGCCACGGCGGCCGAGGTCGACGCCGGATCCGGCGCGGCCTGGGCCGTGCCGCCAGCCGGCCGGCCCGCCGCGACCATCGAGATCGTCGCGGTGGGGCCTGGTGTGGCGGCCGCCGCCGCCACCGTCACCGACGAGGGCGGCCCGCCCTGGGCCGCCGCCGCGTCCCCTGCCGGTCGCGCCGCAGCCGCTGCCGCCGCCGCGCCCTGCTGCTGCTGCTGCTGCTGCTTGGCGCGCTCAGCCATGGCGTACTGGTACCGCCGCACGTACTGCTTCATGTCCGCCAGGCGCTTGCGCAGCGCCTCCACGGCCGCGCCGTCGATGTCGGGGTCCGGCAGGCCGGGACCCTCCATCAGCGCCAGCGTCTCACGCATGGTCGCAGAGGAGCTGTGTGCGCCGGAGCGCGAGGCGGCCACGCTGTCGATGCGGGCCACCAGGGCCTTGGCGTCCTGCGTGCCAGGGGGACGGCGGGTAACAACGGTGGTGAGGAGATTGCTGGACGACTGGTGGGCGGGTGCCAGGCCGCGGCGAAACTCGGGCACGGAAACACATGTTCAACGACACGTCAGGTATCAATCGACCTCCCCCACGCCCAATCCGCCCTCACCTTGAGCAGCTCCCTGCGGGCGATGGCCTGGAGCTGGCGGTAGGCGGCGACGGGTGAGGGGCCGCCCCCCGTCCCTGCCTCCGTGGCCGCCGCCCGGGTGGCGGGCAGGGGCATGGGCGGGGGGCGGGAGGCCTGCTGCGACTGCTGCGCGGAGTACTGTGGCAGGGTGCTGGGCGGATAATCCGACTTCTGGGGCAGGTACTGGGGCTGGGGGCCTGGCTGGTACTGCGTCGCTGTCACCTGGTACTGCGGCGCGGCCTGCTGCACCTGCTGCGGCGGCGGCGCCTGCTGTACGGGCAGATGGGGGTACTGCGCCTGCGGGGCGTACTGTACGCCGGCGTACTGCTGCTTCGTGGCGCCGTACGCCCCGGGGTAGGCTCCCGGCCCCGCCTGCTGCGCCGGCGCGCCCTGGGGAACCCCTTGCTGCTGCTGCTGGTGCTGGTGCTGGTGCGTGCGGGGCGCTGCCTGGGCCTGCGGCGCGGCGCCATACTGCGGCTGTTGCTGGGCGGGGTACCCCTGCACGCGGTACTGCGGATCGTACTGCTGCGCATACTGGGCCTGCTGCGGCGGCGCCGCCGCCGCCTGTGGAGGGTAGGCGCCCGCCTGCGCATCGTAGTACCCGCCAGGGTTGGCCGGGGCCTGAGCCGCCGCCGATGCGGTTCCGGGAGCGGGGGCAGCGCCGCCGTACCCCTGGTACCGTGCATCGACTACGCCTGCGTAGGGCGCCTGCGGAGCAGGCTGGTACTGGTGCGCCGCGGCCTGGGCGGGTGCGTAGCCGCTCTGGGGGTACTGCTGCGCCTGGTACTGCTGCTGCTGCTGCTGCTGCTGCGGGGGGTACTGCGCCAACTGGGGCTGATACTGCTGCCGCTGCTGGGGCTGCGCCTGCGCCTGGTACTGCTGCTGCGCCTGCGCCTGGTACTGCTGCTGCGCCTGCGGCTGGTACTGCTGCTGCGCCTGCGGCTGCGGCTGGTATTGGGGCGCAGTGGCCTGAGGAGCCGGAGCCGGCGTCACGGACCGAGCAGCCACCTGGGCTCGGCAAAGGAAAGGGTGGATGGGCAGCAGTGAGGTTACTGACCCAGCCTGCAAACTCATCATCAGTGCCTCCAGCACAACTGCAAAGTTGGTGGACAAAGACAGGCCACCAAATCGTGACTCATTGGCCCTGCACAGTGGCAGCCCTCCAATGCCTCTCTCCAGTGCACCACCCCCGCACCTGGTTGTTCTTGGCAAGGATGCTGTTGATCTTGGAGGACATGTGGTGCCCCCACTGCGCCCGAGTGACCGTGTTCTCATATATATTCTCCTCCGTGCGAGTGGCCAGGCTCTGCGCACGAGCCTGATCGCCACCCACAATCTTCTGCAGGGCTTGCATGCTGCACAGAGGAAGCAAGGTCGGGGAGTGGGGGAGGGGTTCGTCTCACCGTTACCCCTGGAAAAAAGGCAGCAATGAGAGACACACCAGCACCCATTATAGGATGAGCAGTGGGCAACTCACAGCTGGAGACGCCCCTGATCCCTCTCCGCAGGTGTGAGGTCCATGGGAGGCATGCCGGCAAGCGGTTCCCTTCGCCGATCGTCGAGTTGGAGGGTGTTAGGCTTGACTTCGGAGCTGCTGCGCGCAGGTGCGAGTGAACTGAAGCCCGCTCGCCTGTTGAATGCGCGGCCTGGTTGAAGCTTTGCTAGTCATTCACTCAGTGGCTTCATCGTGTGATGGAGAGCGCTGCATTGCACTGTCGCATGCAAGGATCAGCACGGTGTTCGCCTTCCACGGGAAGGGGAAAAGGGAATTCTGCTCAAACACTCCTCACACGCTGAAACAATGACCGTCAGAGCATCTTACAGCTGGATAAAGTGTGTATGTCAAGTGTAACCGCTGTCAAAGTCAAAGTTTGGACGGGCAGCACGCTGATTGCCTCGCATCAGCTTTGGTCACGGAAGACGAGGCGGGGCTCGGATTGATGAACCTGGACAAAGAGTCTCCTCAATCTGGCCCCAAACCCGATCAACATGCGCCACCAGCCGATCGAAGCCAGGCTTGCACAGGCATTCCTGTACATGAAATGGCATGTAGGATGAATGTCAGGGAGAGTAATACCTCGATTTGTACTGATTAGAGCTTGTGATGCTGGTCAGAAACAAGTATCCAGTGAGCCGAGTGACCCACCAGGATGGCAGCAGCAATGTCATCGTCTCCAGCCTGTTCCAAGAAGCTCTCCAATGTGATGCTCAGATGAGTTGCACTGTCCCGCTCGCCTGCTTTCATGCACACCATGCCTAGCTTGATGCTCTGGTGTGGGGAGGTTTTCGGGGAGAAGGGGGGGTGGGTGGCTTTGCCACGCGGAAATTAAGGCACGGGGCCGAGTACCAATTCGAGATACCGTTGTACGCAACCTGGCCCTAGCTGCATCCTCAGATGGAGAAGCAGTTACCTGGAGTAGGGCCGCGCACTCCCTGCAGGCCTGGGGTGCCTGGAAACGAAGCGCGCAGACGGTGGGTTTCTGACGCTCTTCTTGGTGACTCAAGAACAGGACACCCTGTCCACTCCTTGCACCAGGCATGCTGTCATTCTGATGAAGAACAGAATGTGCAGGGCACACGTGCAGGAGGGCGAAGTTCCCTGGTGTGAGGGACCATTGCAGCAGGCCTTTGTGTGCCTTGAGGTCTATGGCCAGGTGCGGGGCTTGTCCAGCCCCGAAGGTCAACTGCAGAACACTGCTCGGACAGTCACTGGCTAGCCACATTCCTGCCGCGGGGGATTCTCCAGCTCCCGGCCTCGGCATCCAGACCGCGACTCGTACTGCCCAGCACATGGAGTGGTGCATCTCCATGTCAGTCGAGGTGTGCTCGAGTCCACCTCAGCAAAGCCTTGTTGGGAACATGGCATGCGCTTGATACTGACTATATATTCATGTAATGCCGTGTCATACGCTGTAATGAGTCTTTGGGGGCGATTGTTATTGTCGTGGCTGCATGAGCTTGCGCTGCCGAGTTCAAAACCGTGGATGGAATCGTGCGGAGACCCGGGACCGGCGCAACCAAGCATCTGGGCTGAGTTACGCATCTGGCATTTTTGCCATGTTGCATTGCGACGAACTACAATCTGTTGACTTTGTGGTGCGAATCGACGTGAAATCGGCGATCTATAGGGCACAGGGTGTGGGTGAGCACAATGGATAGGACGCATGGCAACTGTGCGGGAGGTGGTGCATGCCCCGCCGTGAAGTGCGGGTGAGGGTGCATGTGCGTGCAGTGCCAGTGAAGAGGCCATCTTATTAGATCTCACGCGTTGCCCTCGTGGTCAGGTGCGAGGCAGGGCGATGCCGTACCTCTCCAAGCAGGCCCTCTCGGGTCTCAAGCACTACCACTACAAGCCCGGTGGCTACACGATCCTCGACAACTGGCATCAGCCCCTCTGGAACTGTGAGTGCATGAGAGGATGGGGTTGTTTACAGGATCGGAATGCATTCCTGCCACACCTCTGCAGGACCACCGCTAATGGAAGGGAGCCGGCAGCTGTTGCTGCATGCCTGCTCCAGCGAGTACTGCATCGGTTCTCACACCTGAGCAACCCCCACACACTCGAGAACGCACAGATGCGGTGTCCTGCCTTCCCACCTGGCTGGCACCCAATGTGATCACCCTCATCGGCTTGAGCTCGGTGATGGTGGCCAACCTGATCTCCGCCTACTACAGCCCCGACTTCCAGAGTGAGCGACGAGGGCGTGGAGGGGGCGATGAAGTCACTCTGGCAAAGCCCATGCATCACCACGCCCGATACGCAGGGGTGGCGCAGCTGTGCCCTGCCTGCTTGCCAAAGGTGGAGGAGCACCTGCGACGCCAGGCAATGCCCCACCGAGACACCCCCCCCATCCTCCTCCCCCCCACCTCCCTGTCCCCTACCGCCCAGACCCCGTCCCCACCTGGGTGTACTTTGCGATGGCCTTTGCCGGCTTCTTCTACCTGCACATGGACTGCCTGGACGGCAAGCAGGCACGGCGCACCGGCTCCTCCAGCCCCCTAGGCCAGCTGTTTGACCACGGTGAGGGGAGGGAGTTTGGGGGAACTGTGTGTCTGGGTATGCATGCCATGCACTTTGTGTTGGGCATGGTTCTGTAGGGGGTCAAGAGCGCCGACTCTGACCGACACACATGGTTCCCCCCCCCCCCCCCCCCCCCCCCCCCCCCCCCCCACCCCCCCCCCCCCCCCCCCGGCACCCCCCCCCCACCCCCCCCTCCCCATGCCCGCCCCCGCCACTCCCCTCCTTCTCCGAAACAGGCTGCTGGCCGACGCCTACGAGGTCAACGGCGTGGAGAATGGGCGCTACCACCACGCAGTGCGAGACATCC